CAAATTAGAGTTCATACGATTCAAATAAAAACATACTTCCTCTATCTCATTTAATTTGTTTACTCTTTTTATTTTTTATGTTTCACGTAATTTGTTAATTCATTTTTTGGAAATAAATTTAATCACATTTTGAAATTCATAGTTTATAATTTTTTTTTAAAAAAAGAATTAATCAAACTATTTAGTCATTTTAACCTTAATTTATAATTATTTTTATTAAATTATACTCCTTTCATCCCTTAACACTGGTCGGCTCATTCATTTCACTTTTTTAAAAGTAATTGTACTATCTACATAATATTAAAAATATCTTTTCAATTTATAATATATTACACAAATGTCATTATTTTTATATCATACAATACTAATAAGGTTAATTTAATCTTTTTACCTTTATTTATAATACATCTCAATATAATACTAATATTTTTAAAACTCCGTGCAAAAAATAAACAGATAGGTAGATATGGGACAAATGGAGTAATTATTTTTATTAATACTCTTCTTAATTACTTACTAATTATTCAATACTTAAAACTCAGTGTTTAAACAAAAATGAACAATTTAAGTGGGAAAGAGTATTATTTAATCTCAAAAAAATATTATTCAAATCAAAACAAAATTTTTTGATTCATTTGTAATTTCAAATGAAAATCAGCACTATTCACCTTTTATAGTTTATTACAACAAAATATTATTTAAATAAAATAAAAATTTACACTCAATTTCAAATTAATTTCATACTACAACCAACAAACAGTAATTTCTATAGTATTAAAAAATTATATTTGCTCTTACAAATAAAAAATATGATGTTTATTGTTATTATTTTTTCTTATTATATTATTTTTTATATTGATGTAAGTCACTTGTAAATTTATTTTGTTCTTAAAACTAATTTATTTTAACAGAACTATATATATTATTTATTTTATATAGAATTTTAATTTCTATAAAATATAAATTATTAAAATACAATTTTTATGATTTGTTGTTTTGTTTGTTATTTTTTATATAATAAAAGTGTTCGAAACATACTATTATCTTATAGATAAAATATAGAGGACAACTTTTTCAAGATATTCTTATATATATACCTAACAATAAATTTGGATTTGTTTTGTTGTAATTTTAATGTTATTATTTACTTTCTACCATTTTAATAAAAATATTTTATTTTATTTCATAAAATATTTATATCAAAATATTATTTAAATAAAAATTTAAATAGACATATCATTTTAAATTACTTTTAAACTATAATCAAATAAAATAAATATTATTTTTTGAATCTTCTATAAAAAGTAATATAAGTAGAGAATAAAGCTTTATTATTAAGAATAGTCAGTGTTGGTTTGTTTTGTAAAATAATTTAAAAAAATATTTTTTTTATGTGAAATATATAAAATTATGTAGATAATTTAAAAATAATCAAACCATCAATTTTTATTTGTGTTTACTATTTTACACTATTTTTATTAAATTTTTTGTAGTACCTTACTTTACTTTCTATCTACTTTCAATTTTTTTTTTTTTCATCCATCCGTTGAAGTTACCCATTTCTCCTTTTGGTAAAATCAAATATTTAACATTTAACTATTATACTTCATTCAATATTTATTCACCATAATTGTCATAATTTTTATTACATCACCCTTTGTATTTTTTTTATAAATTAATTGTATGTATAATAGTATATTTATAATTTATTTAAAAATTAAAAAATATTTTGATATTAATATACAATTATTTTTATCATAATAAAAAATATATTTTTTAGTTGGACAAAATAGCTTTAGTTGGTACAAGAGAGGATTAAAATAGCTCTACTTTTTAGCTTATTTCCCTACAAAATAACATAATTATATAAAATTAAAAAATACAATATATACAATAAATATGCATAACAATAAAAATTAATATAAACACACAGTATCATATATTATAATACATTAATAATTTTACAAACTTTACAATAAAAACATCTATAATTATAAATATCAAATAAAACACTAAAAAAATACAAAAAAAAAAAAAAAACACTCACATTTCCAAGCAAGCAAACAAACTCTGATGATCAAAATTAATGGACATATAAATAAAATAAGGGGTCCAAAGCTAATAACTTAAAGATTATGTGATAAATTACAGTGGCCCCTGAAATTGGAAAAAAAAACGATGAAACACTTAGAAATAGTCAGGTTCTAAGAAAAATAAGAGTAAGATGTAAAAATATAATAAAAATAAAAAATAAAAGCTTCAAAACCTATGGGTAAGACACTAACGGCACACACAGGATATGAAGAGGAAGGAAGAAGAAGTACGCCTCTCCAAGAACCCCTTTCCCATATCCATAATCTCAAATTTCTCTTTTTCGAATTCCATAGGTTGATCCACTTAACGGAACTCTAATAATTTTTATTAGCCATCGCAATCGGATTTCAACGATGACGAAGACGAGTGAAGGAGAAAAAGGTCAAGATGGTCGTCCGGCTACCTCAATCGGATAAGAAGAGTAACGACATTCTCGAGGTTCTAACTCGGATTTTAGCTCGGAGTCCGAGGATCAGGATGGGCTCTAGTCATAATCAATACATCCCATACACGTAACTGTATACTCGTATTCTGATGCCACAACTATAATTTTTTTCGAGTAATTTTTACTATACAGTTAGTTATAATATCAGATAATGGTGAAAATGATTGATCATATCTAAGTTTTGATCGTCGTGTTCCATTAAATGTGGATGAATTCAATATTTTGCAATGTATCATAGGATGCCGCGAGCTCTAGCAACAATACAATAAACAACCTACAAAATTAGAACTACTAAAACGACATTGAAGTCCTCAATCGATCTTTTCTTGGAGGTGTTTCTATTTTGCATGAGCACTGGCCGCAACACATTAGACAATTTACAATATTATAACCACCAAAAGAATATCAAAGTTTTCAATCAAAACGCTGTTAGAAACATTAAATTAACCCATCAAAATTTGAACCACCAAAATAAAATTGAAATATTCAATCCAATGCTCTCAGATACATTTCTCTCTCGTTCAAAAAAGAAAAATGAGTTGAAATTATGGTGAATGCAAAATTGAAAATATGAAAAATGTAGCAGACTTGCATTTAAATGTGAAAAAATGAGATGAAAATTTAAATCCGTGCTTTTATTAAAATACAATTTTTAAAATTTTAAAAATATACTTAGATTTATTTTTAATTAAATAAATATGGGTAATAAGTAAAATTTGAAATTTAAACTAAACTTTGTTTAGTTTTGATTTAAATAATATTTTGATATAATTTTTACAAAAAAAATAATATAAAAATTGTACATATTAAATAATATTAATTTGTCTTTCAAATAAAAATCAATTATACATTCTATATTTTATTACTCAATAATAGAATTTAACTTCAAATTACATCTTCAACTTCAACTTCAACTTCGTTTTGTTTGTAAAGTTTTGTGTTAAGTTTTATTGTATTATTATTATTTTTTAATATCAAATTAAACATATATTTATTATTTATTCTTCTTTTTGTCATAAAAAAATATTCATTTGATTGGCACAATTTTTAACAAATATGTAAGAATATCAAATATTATTTTTATAATAAAAAAATACAAAATAGTTTTTTCAATTAAAAAAAGAAAAATAATAATTTTTTACTGTAACTAAAAAAAAGAGTACTCCGAACATAAATTTGGATGAAAAAAAAGTACATTATACAAAAATTTAATTTACATTTAAAATATTATGTATTTATATCATATCAAACAATAATTTTAGTTAAAAAAATCAATTTAAAATTCAAATTCAAAACCAAAAACAATTTTAAAATTTATTACTTTCAAATTAAAAATCTTTTTCAAATCAATTTCAAACTATAAACCAATTTTAAAATTGTTATTTTCAAATTAAGAAACCCAATTTCAAATCAATTTTAAAATGAGATATTGATTTAAATTTTTATTTAAATAGTATTTTGATTTGATGTTATGTGAGAGAATATTGTATTGTTGTTAAAAACTGTGTCCAGATGAATAATATTGATTTTAAATTAGAAAATGGTAAAAAAAACCAAATTCTTATTATTTGTTTGATTGGAGTTTAAAATTGCATATGAAAAATTAAATTTAAAATTTTGTTTGAATAACATTTTTATTTGATGTTTTATGTAAAAAATAGTGCATATATGTATATATATGTATATTGAAAATCATTATGTGTAATCTTGTAATTAATATTGATTTCGATTTAAAAATTTGGTCAGTTTCATCCCAATATATACATTTTATATTATATATATAAAAAAAAAATACTCCAACACTAATAATAAAATATTTTAAACTTTTGCACACATAAAATTATATTATTATACATGTTATTATTTTTTATATAAAATATAAATCACAATTTTCTCATGATACTTTTACATATTTCACCTATTAATAAAGTAACTATTGTTTTATTAATATATTATTTACAATAATTTATTATTATTATTATTATTATCTTTCTATTTATTATACTACCTCTTTTTGGACTATTATATTTTTAATAAATTTTTTGTAATATTTTATTTTATTTTCTATGTATCCAAATTTTATAATTAAAATAGCTTTACTTTTTAACATGTGTTCATAAACAATATAATCATTTAAGATAGAAAAATACAATATATATTGCATTACAATAAAAATCACACACATAATCATCTTATAATACTTTAATACATACTTCACAATAAAAAATTTATAAATACCAAACAAATACATTAAAAATACAAAAAAACACATCCAAAATTTCCAAACAAACAAATTTCGAAACGAATGGACTTATATACAAAATAAGGGGTCCAAAGCTAATTACTTAAAGATTAGGGGGGTAAATTGCAGTGGCCACAAGATTGAAAAAACGACGTCGTAAACAAAACACTTAAAATAGGCGTGGTTCTGAAAAAGAGGAGTAGAATATAAAAACGGAATAAAAACGGAAAAAATAGCCCCAAAGCTATGGGTAAGGCACCAACGGCAGCGGCGACGCCGGAGATGAAGAGGAAGAAGAAGGGCCGCCCTTCCAAGAACCCATCTCCCGTATCTACTCCCCCAAACTCCTCAGTTTCGAATTCCACCAGTCGCCGATCCACCCGACGGAACCCTAATAATTTCAATTCGCCGCCGCAGTCGGATTTTGAGGACGACGAGGACGAGCGCAAGGAGAAGAAGGTCAAGCTGGTCGTCCGGCTACCTCAATCGGACGAGAAGAGTAAGACTGGTGAGAAGAATCAGCTGCAGCGACATTCTCGAGGTTCCGATTCGGATTCTGGCTCGGAGTCCGAGGATCGGGATGGGCCCATGAAGAAACGCAAAATTAACGGCGTCGATGACAGATCTGACGACGGAGAGTTGGATCAGGTGAGGATTGTTGGTAATTTCGTAGGAAATGGAGGAGGGACAGGACGATGCTATCTTGAAAAAATTGAAGTAGTGGAATTAAATGTTTCTTGCTTAAATTTCGACATAAAGGATTTTTTGTATATGGGTTTTTCTATTTTGGGAATGTTGGGTTGGGGTTTGGAAATTTTTTGGAGGTTTTAACTTTTAAATAGTGGATAGGATTTTGGGGGTTCGCGCGAAAATAAATAACTGCGAACTCTTTTTACCTTTTGGAAGATCTGAAAATGGATGCCTTTGAATTTTGACTGAGTCGTTGCAAGAATAAAGTCGAGTAATTAATTTCCAGATTTTTTCAGTGTAATGGAATTTGGGTTTTGCGCATGAATCGGTATTTCGTATGTACGAAAAAACAAACAATACGTGGCGAAGAATGAACATATCTGCGCATGTATTGCTACTTTCTATTTACTACTGTTTCTAAATTATTGTGTATTCAATTTCATTGGTACTTTATTTATATGCCTTCTGGTTTGCCAAAAGTTAGATTTGTCTTTATTGTTGGTGGATTGGATTGGGAATGATATTTACGTAGCTGTGATCTTCATTATCTTCTCCATTTCATTTTTTGAGTGATGTTTATTTGCGTGATCGATTTATATCTGTGTTGTGGAGAATGATTGTAAGAATTGATTTTGCAGGATAAAAAGCCTGTGATAGCGACTGATATTCCTCCAAAAGGTTCTGATCAGAAAGCCTTTGGAATTTTTTGAATTAATGGAGGGGAAAAAGAAACCTAATTTCAGTGGCGAAGAACTTGAGAATTGGATTTTGTGTCTTGATCCAACTGTGCTCATTTGACTTAATTTTTGTGGACAGGGTCGCCATTAGAGTCTGGTCCCACAATTCCTTTGCCAGACAAAAAGTTGTTGGTCTTCATTCTTGACAGGCTTCAAAAGTATGTGTTTTCCAGTTGCTCCTCTTGAGCTTTCTCGTGCTTCTATATTTATTTTTCTCTCTGTTTCGTCGTCCTCTTCGCTTTTGGGTTTACAAAGATCGTTTTTCAGTATTTGGATGTGTGTTATTTCAGGAAGGACACTTACGGGGTGTTCTCTGAGCCCGTTGATCTCGGCGAGGTGATTACATCTTCATGCATCGATGGTGTTAGATTTTGTGCTTGCAGCAGCTGATATGGACTTTAATGTTTGTTGCAGCTGCCTGATTATTTGGAAATAATAGAGAATCCGATGGATTTTGGGACTGTGAGGGAGAAGCTTGAAACTGGTGCTTATAAAAATTTGGAAGAATTGGAGGTTTGTGTTGAATATTGGAGATGGAATACTTTGAATTTTGTTAATTTTTGGGTTGTCGAAGTTGTTTTTAGTGTATGGACTCAGCCATTGGACATTGGTGGTTTTTTATCGTCTAACTTTCTTTTGTTTCAATCATTTTGGAAATTTATAATTTGGAGTAATGAGACCACAAAGCTCATGTTTTGGGGAGTAATTTCTTAATAGACATTGCTCGATAATGCATTTACAAGTTACACAGTTTAGCTTCTTCCTGTCGATTTGAGTTCGACTTTGGTGGTTCCGTTTCTTGTTTGGATCACAGTTGAACCATTTTGCGTTTGAGCAATATTGCACTTTCTTGTTCCAAAACAAAATATTGCACTTTCTTGAATTTTCGAAGATGTTTCTGCAAAATCTATTATGGAAGGTTTTTTTGATAAATCTTTAACAAATGGAGAAGATGTTTCTGCAAAATCTATTATGGAAGGTTTTTTTGATAAATCTTTAACAAATGGAGCTGAAGTTTCGATACTGGAGGGATTGAGCATCTGCAGTTCTGCATTAAGCTTTTTGAGAAGTCTGATGGGAATTAACCAACTTAATTCTTAATGATGTGTATCCATACCTTAAATATTCAAGTGTAATCGCGAAACCGTTGAAATGTCTATGCAGTTTATATAATGAATTCTATTGCTATATGACTTTAATCTCGACCTAGCTTGCTTCTTAGTTATTTAGTCAAATAAATCAGCAGCTGGATGGATAGCCACCTCTACCACCAACCTTGTAATTTTTATGGTCTCTGAAGATCATGCTATTTACCGTGTTCTGTGTTATTCTCAAAATTATAAAAATTCTAAACCATGTATCGATGCATTTAATTGTTTCCATAGATGGGTTTCGATTGTTTAAATGTAGGAGTGTTTTTTTAATTACATTCTTGTACACCTGGAATTTCTCTTCAAGCTTGTGTTACTCATTTCTTTTATCAATTTAGCTAGTTTGGACTGATTTATTTCTTCTTTCTTTTTCAGTCTGATGTGCTTTTGATATGCTCAAATGCGATGCAGTATAATGCTTCAGACACAGTCTACTATCGACAGGTCCTCACCCTTCCACGCTTTGTTCATCATATATATCCTTGTCTATTTGTTATCTGAACCATGGATAAAATTAGGCCCGAGCTATTCAAGACCTTGCAAAGAGAGACTTTGAGAACCTTAAGCATCAAGGCGATAATGGGGAACTGCAGCCCAGGGTTGTGCGGCGAGGCAGGCCTCCAAACAGCAAGAACCAGAAGAAGTCTGCCGAAACATCTCCTGGAGATCGTGTGGAAAGTTCTGCCACTGAAGTTTCCACGGGCGTTTCACTCGCTAATGGAGAAGACAAACCAGCTGGATCCAATTCTTACAATCTTCGAAAGAGCCCTGGGTTATACAAGTTTAAGTCCACGGATCCTTTTGTGTCGAACAACAGACCTAGAAATGGTGTCTCCGAGTGGTTGGCTGATTGGAATGACGAGTTTCCAGGTATATGTGCATCTGGTGCTACATTGAAGTCGGCCATTACCTTTTTTCCCCGGTAGAAAGGCTTAACGCCTTCTTTCTAACTTTCAGCATCAATTCTAAGGGCCGACATGAAGCATACAAAAAGACAGTTTACAGTCGATGAAAATAGGCGAGACACCTACAAGCAGTCACTATCGTTGAGCAACAATTTACCTGTATTTTATAACTCTCTTGGGAGCATAAAGCGACTAGCACCGGTATGTTTTTTGACAAACTGCTAAATGGCTCCTCCCATTTTGCGTACTCTACACATTTATGCTACCTGTGTTATTATTTCGCGTCCCTAATTTCCTTACTACCTGTTTCAACTACATTCAGGTCGGCTTTCAAGAAGCCCTTGCTTATGCAAGAAGCCTGGCTAGATACGCCGCAAATCTTGGACCTGTAGCTTGGAAACTGGCTTCAAAGAAGATAGAGACTGTCTTACCTGCCGGCGTCGAATATGGCCATGGCTGGGTCGGAGATAAACAAGCACCTTCACAGCTATTCTCACACCCAACTGACAAGCAGAAAGCAGTTAATAGTGTTTCTGTCGACTGCAATTCAGGCAAACATATATCCCCCCAGGATTCTGATGCAAGTCCTACCGTTGCAAGTGGGCTTTCTGCAGAAGCTGTCAAGAAACTCAACAGTCAAAATGAGCTATCTAGACGAGGCAATACTGCTATCCATCAATCCTACAGAAACGGTTTCACTGGAGCTCTCGGGTATGATGTATCTGCAGCAGCTCTGGCTAGAGAAGCAACACCTGGAAATTCGATGACTGATTCTCAAATGATGGGAAGTACGTCGAGGAGTCACATGCCTGAGCAGGTTAAGTTATCCGAAAGTGGCAATAATGTGCCACAGGGACATCTAAACGTGAAAACTGAAGCCTCCGATTTGCATGTGAAAACTGAAGCCTCTGACACGATCATGGAAGCTGAAGTGAAACCTCAACAGGCATTTGCAGAGCAGCAAAGACATTCTCTTTCTCGCTCGGTGCCTCCTGACTTGAACACGATCGTCCCTACAGGTTCACCTAGTTCTAGCTTACAGATCAGTTCGCCCCGACAGCCAGATCTGGCATTGCAACTCTGAATCTTGATTTTGATCCATTTTCTAAGGTGCAGGCAGAGTTTCTGGAAAATCTTGATGTTTGGAGGTGACATGGGCTTTGCCACTCTGAGAGAGAGATTGTGTGTGTGTGAGAGAGTGAGAAAGAGCTTAGAAAACATTTGTGTACAGATGGTGTATCTAATTCTTTAGGTTAAACTGAAAGGATGTTCTCTGTTAACTTTTATAAAATTCGATGACAGGGAGAAGCAGGAAAAAGGATTATGTATCTGCTTATGATTATTGTCTAATACATAGATCTGATACCCTTTGATTAAATCTTCTCTGTTAGCAATTCTCTTCCTTCAGAGTGAGAAACACTCACTTTGAATATATCTTACCAAGTTTGGATGAAACTCAATTAGTTATACCTGCCTAACTTCTCCCTCTTGCCTTTTTAGAAGTTCCGGTGCATCGTCGGCGGCCGCAACACTGTACTTCCGGCAACAACGAGATTAATTCCGGAAGTGGTGTAAGTGTAACTCCAACAAGGGTACAGATTACATATATAAAGTATGCTATATATATACATACTGTGTATGTTGCCTTTGATGTTTATTTTTTATATTTTTTAAAAAAAGTTTAGCCTAAAAGGGCCCTAAAATTTCGGTGTCATCTTTAAATGTATTTTGTCTTTTTAGGTTTACTTAAATGCAATTAGTTAATAAAGAATGTGGTGATCTATTCTTAGTATGTTCAGATTGTTGGCTGTGTTTTGTGCTTGCCTTTGTAGAGATCTTTGTAATGTGATGTCAAGAAATCTGAGCAATTTGGCGATTAGGGTTTTCTTGGATTCTCCTGGGGAGGGAATTTACATTACGATTCTCTCTCCAACAGCCTTGTTAGTTTGTGTTCTTGATCGATGTGATTCTAAGCATTTGCACGAATTAACAAGCCTGGTTCATGATGATGATGATGCTGGTTGATTTGGGAGAAAAGTAAATTGAGTTTTCTTGGATTGTTGATTGGATTAAATTAGATTGTTTGAAGAAAATCCATTGGGAAATAGAAGAAAGAAAGCAAAAATGATGAGATGCTTATCTTGTATGAGCTTTTCATCCCAAGATGTGTTGGATTTTGATGAATGTATGACCCCAGAATCCGTTGAATATCCAGGTTTTTGCCTCTGTTTTTAGATCTTTTCTGTTGTATTCGATTGATTTACGTCGATTCTTGGATTTGCATTTGTAAATGGTAGCTGAAATTGGCGAAAATGTCGATTATTGGACGTGCATTGTGTAAATGGTAGCTGAAATTGGCGAAAATGTTGATTCTTGGTTCTGCATTGTGTCAATGGTAGCTGAAATTGGCAAAAATGACGATTATTGGTTCTGCATTGTGTAAATGGTAGCTGAAATTGGCAAAAATGTCGATTCTTGGATGTGCATTGTGTAAATGGTAGCTGAAATTGGCGAAAATGTCAATTCTTGGTTCTGCATTGTGTAAATGGAAGCTGAAATTGGCGAAAATGTCAATTCTTGGTTCTGCATTGTGCAAATGGTAGCTGAAATTGGCGAAAATGTCGATTCTTGGGATGTGCATTGTGTAGATGATAGCTGAAACTGTCGATTTTTCTTTTTTTTTTCTTTTCTTTTTTCAGGCAAGGATGGAGGATCTGCCAGATCGAAGAGGAAGGAGATCGACAATGCCAAGACCGCTGCGCAGTGCTTCACATTGAAAGAACTCTCTTCAGCGACGCAGAATTTCCGGGAATCGAATTTGATTGGCGAAGGTGGCTTTGGATGCGTATACAAAGGACAGCTCGAATCCGGCATGATTGTCGCTGTAAAGCAGCTGAATCCCGACGGGCATCAAGGGAACCAAGAATTCATCGTCGAGGTTCTCATGTTGAGCTTGCTGCATCATCCCAACCTCGTCAATTTGATCGGTTACTGCGCCGATGGCGAGCAGAGGCTGCTGGTTTACCAGTTCATGCCCATGGGCAGCCTCGAGAATCATCTATTCGGTAACGTTCAACAGAAAATAAAAATTTGTCAATAGTTAGTTAATAATGGTAAGTTATCGTTTTTGTCGTTAGATTTGGAGCCCGGCCGGAAGCCACTCAGCTGGTCGACGAGGTTAAAAATTGCCGTAGGTGCAGCGCGTGGCCTCGAATATCTCCACTGCCAAACCAGCCCTCCCGTCATATACCGCGACCTGAAATCGTCGAACATACTACTCGACGAAGACTTCAATGTCAAGCTGTCTGATTTTGGGCTCGCCAAATTGGGACCCGTCGGCGACAAAACGCACGTATCGACGCGCGTCGTCGGAACGTACGGGTACTGTGCCCCGGAATACGCGATGAGCGGGAAATTGACGTTGAAATCCGACATATACAGCTTCGGCGTAGTTCTGTTGGAGCTGATCACCGGGCGCAAGGCCATCGACTTCTCCCGGAGGAACGGAGAGCAGAATCTCGTCGTCTGGGTATGCTATCGCAAATTATTTACGTAACATTTATCGTTTTTTCGATGTATAATTTCTTGGTGGCGGGCGCAGACTCGTCCGTATCTTAGGGATCGGAGGAACTTGTTCGACATCGTGGATCCGTTGTTGGAAGGAGAATACTCGGCGAAGAGCATGAAGCACCTTATAGCGATTACGACGATGTGCCTGCAGGCGAATGCTAATGCACGACCCGGAATTAGCGATATCGTCGATGCGTTGGAGTACATTGCGGCTTGCCACGGCGACGGCACTCGCTCGTGTCGTAGTCGAAGTCGGAATTGGAATCGGAGTCGGAGTCAGAGCGGAGATGATTTGGAGAGGTATGTTCCATAGGCTACCTCTCTTGTATTGGTAATTTCGGAAAATTTTATGTTTACTTTGATTGATTAAATATTGATAATTATGAAATGAAATTATCATTTTATTGAATTTGGAAATGTTACAGCTTATGTTGTTTGGTGAAATTGAAGGTAATTCTTTATGAGCAATTTTCGTATTATGATGACATTGAGATTCATAATTTAATGTAGTGTATAAGGTTTGATATACCTTTTTTTTAAAAAAAATAAAAATAAAATTTGATATTATATTTTTAAAATAAAATATTAATAAATAGTACTAGTTTCCTTCCATTTAAAAGTATACATTTATTTTGATTCAAAATTTAAAAAATAATAATATTTTAATTATAATGAGTAGTATAAAAATAATTTTATTTTTATTTTTGGTGTAAAAATAATAATGTGAGGATAAAATAAAGATATTTGTAAAGAAATTTTAAACAATATATATTTTTATAATAATATTTTGTGAATCAAAATAAAAATATGTATAATTTGTGAATAAGATGGAAAGAGTATTTGCAAAAGTAAATATATAAACAATTAGCTAAATTAGCTTATGGTTAACAGAAGTGTGTGAGAAGTTTTGATATTTTTGAGTTTATGTATAAAATAATTGTACGTGTAATATTATATTTTAAATTTATGTAAAAATTAAAAATATTTTGATATTAGTGTATATTTATTTTTATTAAAAAAAAAAGAAAAACAATACTTTTTAAATATGATAGAAAAAATAGTAAAAGGGTACTTTGCATTGAAATGGAAAAAATATATAAGAAAATAAATTGAAAAAGAGTTTGCCCACTTAGTGCTTTTATAAATGTTTTTATTATTATTATCTTTTATGTTAGATATAGAGAATTATATTTATAATATAAAAATTAATATTTTTTTGTTAAATTATTGATTTTTTGTGAATAGATATATATATATATTGTTTTAGTACATAGATATTGTATTTTTTTTAATAATATTTATATATAAAAGAAAATCGATCAGCCTATAAATGCCATTTGAATCTTCAATATTTTTAATTTCTTCAGCGTTGCCAATTTTAATTGTACAACCCATTAATTTATAATAAATAAACATTTTACAATTGATTTGGTGAATAATACCTTTGATAATTACGGTATATATTTCCGTCCGTAATTTCATTTATAATTTCATTAAACATTTGATTTGGTGAATAATACCGTTTTTAATTTAAAAAAAATTAATTTCAAGAGTAATTCCATTCCAAATATTGATGCAATTACAATCTATTTTTTTAGGGATAATATTTCAAAGAAATACTCCCTCGGTCTCATATCTATATATCCATTTATTTTTAACACAGAATTTTATAAATATTAGTATTATATTGGCATAAAATAGAAATAAAGGTAAAAAACTAAATTACCCCTACTAGTATTATAATATAACGATATTTGTGTAATATACTGTAAATTAGAAGGATATTTGTAATGTTAGGTAGATGATACCGTTGCTAAAAAAAATGAATATTTTATTATGCAACATACCAAAATAAAAAAAAAAAAAATCAAAATTCAGCTAAAATGATTATAACGTAGGCATATATTTTTTTAAGTGTTTTTTTAATTAATGTTTTATTATTTAATATATATTTTTAAATCACATTTAATAATTATATATTTGCTTTTTAAAAAGGCACCCACACACACGGTGCAATATTAATTAATACAATAAATCATTAATATTTGATGGGTATAATTACATAAATGGACATGACTTTGAAAAAGTCTTTAACAACTCCTTTCAATTCTGTAGTCTTTGATACATACAAGCGCACACAACACGTCTTATAACCAGACAAAAATAAAATATAAATTAATAATATACATAAATTTTTTCCAAATTAAAAGTGTTTTTTTTGTTTTATTAATTCTATTTAAAAATATTATATTTTTATTATTATAGTAAAAATAATTTTAAATTAATATCAAAATATTATTTAATTTTAATATAAATTAATAACATAATATTACACAAATTAATTTATACATAAAATATAAAGATAAAAATATCAAAATTATATTATACAATATCAATAATTAATAAAATATTACTGTATTATTTTTTTGACTCATTTATATTGAAATAAGAAAAAAGTATAGTATATATATTTTTTTAGAAAAAAAATACTCCAATCTGTTCTAATTTAAAATATTATTTATTATTATTTTTTTTATCCCAAAGTATTTATTTTTATTTTAGTAAAAGTAATTATATACTAATACTAAAATACTCTTAATTTTTATTTAAATTACAAAAATATTATTATATATACAATTAATTTATATATAAAATTTAAAAACAAAAATGTCAAAATTTCTTATAAACTTCTATTAACCAATAAAAAATAAAGCATTTTAGAGTGAAAAGGAAAAAGACATAGTATAGATAATAAATTTTGGAGGATTTGAATTAGTACTATTGAAATATATATATAAGCAATACATTATATTTATTGTAGGTATCTTATCTTATTTAGATGAGTTATATATCATTATAAATATGTACATATTTTTATGATTGAAATATATACGTTATATCTCATATATTTTTATATTTTATTCATGTATTTCTTCTATTCATGGTCATGCTATAATTTTCATGTCGTTTCCGTCTCTACTACTCCAATGACATAGTCTACTTTCGATTCTAACGCCACTGAGAATCCTGTTGTCGACTCTAACGCCGTTAAGAGTCCTGTTTTTTACTTTAACTCTATTGAGAGCGAGGGGGATCTGTTTCCGACTCTAACTCTGTTATAAGCGAGCGAGTAACTCTAGATCTATAGAGTTAGCGAGTCAGTAACTCTTACTCTATAAAGTGAGCGAGTCCTGTTTTCGGTTCTAGTTCCGTTGTGAGCAAGCGAGTCTTGTTTCCAACTCTAACGGTGATGAGAGTTCTGCTTTTGACTATGATCCCGTGGATGGTTACATCACTTTCAATAAATCTTGGCGAATTTAAATTCGTATTTGTTCAATCATATCTTGAGTTTGAGGAGGAGTGTTAAAATATATTTAAAAATAATATATTATATTTATGGTAGTTGTAGTTGAATTCTTGTATTATTTAAACGACTTATATGGGGATCCTCAGCATCATCTCCTCCCTGCCCCACCCTGCCCCACACACACTAATGTAACCATGTATCTATACATGAGTGTGTGATGATACTGAGAGTGGGGTAGGGAGGGATGATGCTGAGGATTTCTATTGTTATGGGAGGGGATCCTCAGCATCATCTCCTCCCTGCCCCACACACACTAATGTATAGATACATGGGTGTATACATTATAGATATACACCCATGTATCTATACATTAGTGTGTGATGATATTGAAAGTGGGGCAGGGAGGGATGATGCTGACGATTTCTATTATTATGGGAGGGGATCCTCAGCATCATCTCCTCTCTGTCCTACACACTAATGTATGATATATTATTGTATATCTATACATGAGTGTACGATGATACTGAGAGAGTGGGGCAGCATCATCCCTTCATGCCCCGTACACATGGGTGTATATCTATAAGTCACATGTATCTATACATGAGTGTGTGATGATACTGAGAATAGTGCAAGAAGTATGATGCTGATGATTTTTATTTCATGTTATACGTCCAATCAATCACCTCTCTTTTTCTCTCTCTTGAAACTCTCTTTCTCTCTCTCTCTCTATATATATAAACAGATACACACAGCACAACGCAGAAACAGAGCATGAAAACTTAAAAAGTGTAGGGGGAGCAGAGAAGGCCATTTCTTGGTGACGAAGGCCACCCCAGCGCCTTTTACCCTACCCCACCACCACTTTCCTCTGTTGCTTCTGCTCTCCTTCTTAGAAACCCCAAATCTCTCATTTCTCAACAATCAATCAAATCCCATCATCACTCACTATAAACCTCACTTCTAATTCAGATTCAGATTCCAAGTCCAATTCGACTTTGCAGAGTCTTCGTGGTCGTCGTCATCCGCAAAATCAAAATCAAATACTAATAATCTATAATGGGGAATTGCATCTGCAACTGCTGGCCTAAGCCTGTGAACAACCATATCACCACCACCAGATTCCCCAGCCCCCCTCAAGCTCCAGGTATCTATCTATCTATCTAATTACTTTAACCTAACCCTAATTCATAACCCCTAAATCAATCCTCTACACATACATACTGATACAGTAAGAGTTCTTCCTTTAATTTGAATTGGATTAATTAATTAATTTTGCAGTGGATCACGAGATAAAGAGGAAGAGGGAGAAATCGGCGTCCGAGATGGTGCCGGCGAGCGGGGAGATAAAAAGCAGCTCGATTCACCTGAAGATGTTCACGCTGGCGGAGCTGAGAAGCGCGACTCGGAATTTCCGGCCGGACTCGGTGCTCGGAGAAGGAGGATTCGGGAGAGTGTTCAAAGGCTTCGTCGACCCCAACACCTACGCGCCGTCGAAGGTCGCCGTCGGAATGCCGGTCGCCGTCAAGAGATCCAACCCTGACAGCGAACAGGGCCTCAAAGAATGGCAGGTAATTCAACTAGTGCCAATTTTCAATTTTATTTGCCAAAATTGTTTGAAAAGTCTCTTCTGATTATCGTACGAAATTTACTTACGTAATTTCTAATTTTAGTTAGTTTTTACCACTACTTTGAAAATATTTTGAGGTTTGGTTTTAAATCAACATATATTATTTATTAGTGTAATATTTTGTATTATTTTATTTTTTATTTTTTGTCAAAAGAACATCACACACTAAAATATATTTAATATTAAAAATATTTTTATATTTGTATAATTTTTTTACAAATATTCTTCTATTAGTATTAGTATATTTTTTTTTATTAAAAATGGTATCTTATCAAAATTTTATTATTTTTTCATAAGATATTGTATTAAATATTTATTTACATTACATAATTATTAATCAAATTTTAATATTTTTAATACTGAAACCTACTACTATAATAGAAGAGACAGTCTTGTTTATTTGGTTTGCATTTTAGTTTAAGTTTTTAAATAAAAATTTATTTTAAAAATATTTTAATATAATATTTATAAAAATTGTATACATATTATTACTAGAAACCGTACTTATATGATAAAAATATACAAATCGGACAAACCCTTACTTCAAAGCCTATCCTTAATAATGTTAATGATCTACTTACATACTGAACTGAGGTTTTTGTATTAAAAATAAAAAATTATGTTGATAATATTAAAATTAATGTATTGAATTACTGACTTTCTACAAATATATATATATATATAATGTTAATATAGGGATATATATAATAATATTTGAGTAAAATCGTGCTACTTAAATAAATACTAAAGGAACAAACTGTTTAGAGTCAAACTAGCTTTAAACTTGTAATACTCCCTTTGTTCCAAAAAACATAGGACTATTACTGTAGATACGATAATTTAGATAAAATATAATTAATAAATAATTAAAAAATATATTGGTAAAAATAATTATATATTAAGATTAAGATAAGTAAATAGTTTAATTAAAATTAAAAAAATTATAAAATTTAAAATGCGAGTGTATGATTATATTTCTAAAAATAGAAAGGACAAGTTACGTGGTACGGATAAAAATAAAAAATAGGGACAAATTACGTGGGACGGAAGGAGTAATAATTAATTGTATAAATTAATAATAATATGACTATTATTATTAATCAATTATTAGACAGCCTTTATCTCACGTAATTTATTGATTGGATTGACTGACTGACTGATTGACTTTGTAAAAGTCTCCTCTCCTCTTCTCTCTCTCTGCACCTAACAAACATTAATTAACTTGATGATTACTCAGTCAAGGATTAATGTGAATCCAAGAGCTAAGTCAAAATTGAAAAAGTCAATGATTTCCATTTCATTCATATTTCCACATTCCATTGTCCCATGCATAATTAATAAGTATTAATTATTGAATAATATTTATAATAATGCAGGCCGAGGTAAAATTCTTGGGGAAATTCAGCCATCCCAATTTGGTGAAATTATTGGGTTATTGTTGGGATGAAAGGCAATTTCTTCTTGTCTATGAATACATGCAAAGAGGAAGCTTAGAAGGCCACCTCTTTAGAAGTAAGTCTCTCAACTACGATTGCCATACAATACGATACGATATGAATTATGTCTGAAAATAGTTTTATATTTTATTTATCATGATATTTTAGGTCGTTCTACGATTTTTTTTTTTTACTCAAATGTAATACGATTCATCACAATTTTTCCTTAAAATATATCACATATGATATTTAATATTCACTTAATTTTTCTATACAAAAATTATCAAAAGTCAATATATTTTTATGACTCTTTAAAAATTCAAAATACTTTCGAAATATGCCTAGAAATTATCTAGGCTAACATATAAGTGTCATATGAGTGTCGCGTGCAAATTTTCATCATTGGAGAGCTAAATACTGATAAAGAATGAAGTATATAACTAGAGTTTGACAAAATTATTAAAATGATACGAAAAAAGAAAATTGAACAATATAATAAAAAATTTACAAGTTTTCCCGATAATAATAATTTGGTTGATGTAGAGGGAGGTGAAGCATTGCCATGGGATACAAGGATGAAGATAGCCATAGGAGCTGCAAGAGGCCTTGATTTCTTGCACAACACCGAGAAACAAGTCATTTACCGCGATTTTAAGGCATCCAATATTTTACTCGATGCGGTACTTAAACTATATTCTTTGCATTATTTTGTCGATTCGATGGCTTCTTTTTTTTCCGTAACAATGATATTCACTTTTAGTTACGATTTATTTTTGTTAAGGACTTCAATGCGAAGCTTTCGGATTTTGGGCTTGCTAAGCTAGGCCCAATCAACGGCAATTCGCATGTAACAACTAAGCCCGTTGGGACTTACGGCTACGCGGCTCCGGAGTACATGGCTACAGGTACTCTTCTTGTCGATATTTTGGTTCATATCAAATAATTTTACGTTTTTTTTTTTTATCCAAACAATATTTATTTTATAGGTCATTTGTACGTGAAGAGCGACGTATATGGCTTTGGAGTGGTCTTATTAGAAATTCTAACAGGCTTGCGCGTTCTTGATCTCAACCGGCCCAATGGACAAACGAATTTAATCAATTGGGTTATGCCGTCCCTCGAAGGCAAGAAGTTGAAAAAAATAATCGACCCCCGTCTTATGGGCCAATACCCCTCAAAGGCCGCGTACGCCGTAGGAGACCTCGTACTACAATGTCTCGAGGCGGACCCAAAGTCCCGGCCCGGTATGGACGAAGTTTTGGAAAAGTTAGAAAGGATAAGGGAAAATAAAACAAAGCCCAAGGAAATAAAATCCAAATCCGAGCACGACAACCGGACACCCCACCGTGGCGATATGGGCCAAGGCGGGAATCGACAACAGAATAAAGCAAACAAGCTCCGGAGTTACTAATGGGCTTGGAATCGGGCCCCGGAGCCCGTGACTTGTGTAAAATACAAGGGTTTTAGAATCGATAATTTGATTGATTGCATTTTTTTTTTGTGTGTGTATCTATGTTGTTTTTCATCGTGTTCATTTTACTAAAAAGCCAAAAATTTTAGGGCACGTTTGTATTTTTAAACTCATTTTTGCACGTATTCAAGATCTATCTTCGACTAAAAACATTACATCGAAGGCCTATTTTCTAACACAGTAGAGAGAATCAAGATTTAGAAATGTTCACATATTAACTACTACCTCATACAGATCATCCAAAGGCATCTCTATCGCGACAACACATTAAAAGTGGAATACTCTACGGATATCGACCAGCTACATTGTTCTAAATACTTATTTTCTACGACAACACGAGTTTGATTTTAGATTTTCAGAAGACTACAGGTCAAATAATGATCTCAAATTTCACACAGCTTGCGAAGAAAAGTGTTTACGAGAGATCTAAGTAGCCGCACATTGAAGATCGAAAGTATGGATAGAGTCCTTACAGTTCATGGTGACAGACAGAAAATTACTAACCTCAAGTTGGATCAGAGTTATTGCTTGCTCTGTTGTAATACCTGTGTTGATAGAGACAAATTTTTTGCTGGAGATGATTTAGCCAAAATATTCATAGCCTTCATTCGTTGGATCTCGTTGCCTGCATTAAGCAGAAGTACGTACGATGTTTAGAACAGTAAATTCGTGAAAGAACTAGCCAGGAACGTGTATTGTCTCTTATTCGGGTTATGGCAATCAAGAGAGCATCAACAAATCAGCTGAATAATTTTGCGGAGAGCATCATTTTAGATACAATACGAAGTTTGAAAAATGAAACTCGAAAGCACAGATCAGAAACTAAAACTGCTAGAATTCGACAAAGTTTAAAATCATTATTCACTTGCAAATAGATTAAATTGCCTTAGGATATAGGAGAGTTGGAATCTATTCAGCCAACAAATCACTATAAATACAACTAATTGAAGCCTGTACATAATCGAATCGATTGAGGCAGTACTTGGTTAAATTTCCCAAAAGCATTTTGGATAATATTCCTATACCAAGCTGTAGATTCCATCGTCAAAACTAATCTTTATGCTCATTTCATCTTCCAGTAACATGTAATACAAATTCTTCAAACTATGTAAAGACTAAATAGCAGAAAACTAGCTTGCAGTTATAAGAAAAGCTAATAATAAACGTGTAAAAATGTCTAAAATGTCATACCTTCCTCTATTGTCAATTGTATTGCTCTTTTCTCTAGCTCCACAGCGCGCCTACTAAGCTCAGCAGGAGATGAATTTAAAAGCACTGATGCAATCAAAATGAAACAATTGGGTAAATAATAGTAAGATGTGACGAGCATGCGAACTTCTATAAAATTACAGAATTGAGAAACTCACTCTGAATGAATTCTTTGCGGTCCGCAGCTTCATCACATTGTTTCAGAAAGTTCTGGAGGGAAATGTAGCGCTCGGTTCTGAGCTGATCCTTGGTGACCTTAGAATCAACCGAGCGAGGAAGCTCTGGGGACACTTTAGCAACAGGCTTACTATTGGCGGGCTTACCAAAAGGGCTAGAAACATTTGAACTGCCGTGCGGAAACGCCTTAGCTGCAGTTGAGTTGTTTGATGTAGCAACAGGAACATTCGGCATATTAGCATCCTTCACCAAATTCATCTTTTGAGTAATTCCGTGATGCAATTGAGCCGTGGTCTTTGTTTCTGAAAATTTTGAGTTTTTCTCGACACTGTTTTGAAGCCTTCCAATCCCAAGTTCTAAGTCAAATCTCCTACGGGCATTCATGACATTCTCATTCGCTACATTATAAGCCAAGGAAGGAAATCCCTTGGAAATCGAAGGGCGCTCAGGTGTAAGCCTTTTAGTGCCGCATACTTTGATAGTATCACCATTAGATCTTCCTCCACCAGAGAGTGTATTCTCTTGCTGCTGCTTACTAACTGATCCAACATTTTCATTTTGCACGTCTCTAAGCGCAGTCTTTTTTGTAGCCCCAGAAAGCTGCTTTTCATGAGCCTGAGCTGCATCCCCTCCACTTCCCACGCCCACTCCGTTACAATTTTGTTCGGTGTTGATCATTTTGAAAGTCAAGAGAAGTAAACACACTTCAAATGAGTTCCAAAAATTACGGCAACCTGAGTGATGATCAAACACGTGAAAACAAAAACTCAGACTATACTATTGCTTCAAAACTTAGATCCTTTTCACAGAAAGTAATACAAAAATATTGTCATTTTGAGAGCTTCCAAAGCCACAGTCATGTCTATATGAAAGGCAGATAGTTTAAGTGCTACGGTTCTGCCTGAGTTATGGATCAGTGAAAAAAAGAAACAGAGGTAAATCTATCTAGCTGGGATATATTTTGGAGTTTATTGAACTTTTCTCAACAATATAAATCAGCTAACTTCTCAAATTCCTATTTCATATCAAAGAAGCTAATGTTTCACCAAAAAAACATACTGGACAATACTTGTTAAGTTTCCTTCAGAACACACAGCAAGAACACCCAAACTAATTTGACAAACTGCAAGTGACAAAAGGAGGAATAATTATACCTAGGGAGTTTAAGCTGAAAGCAAATTGTTAATTGAAACTTCACAAATCACCAACACTATAAATCCAAAAAGTAAACACTACACAAAATCGAAAAGCAAGAGATAATCAATCAAGAACCGAAACCACATAATCATAATCGAAAGCGTAACAGAGAAACCACAAGCACAATTACTCGAGAAACCAATTGAAAATTAGACGAACAACAATTCCTGGAAAGAAAAAGGGGAACTTCAACAAAAAAACCCTCGCCGAATTGCCAAATTCAAACGAAACCCCAAACAAGAAAGGGAAAATTAAAATCCCCAAGAGTGAAATTATAATTAGTACCTAACCAGCGAAAAAGGAATTGTAGATTAGTAGGTATGGCGGAAGGGAAATCTACCTTGCGAGGAGGCGCAGCAGATCCGAGAAGGAGCTGAGCGGCGCCTGAGGATGGAGGAAGAGCGACGGCGCCAGAAGCTAAGTGGTTTTCAAAAAAGAGGGGGCGCTCAGGTCGCCTTTGTATGTAATATCACGTGTTTCTATTGTATATAATAAATAAAATAAAATAAAATATGAAAGTAATTATTGGACCCTTGGTGTTTATTTTATTTAAATAGAAATTTAATTAAACATTTTGTTAAAAAAATAATACTGTATGCATAATAAAATGTAAAATAAAATAAAAATGTTTTTTTTAGGGGTTGGTTGTAGGGGTGGCGGGTGCGCAAAAAAAATTTATTCTAACCGTCATTAGTCAAATCAAATTTTCGATTAATCTAGCAAATTCAGATTATCTGTATATTTGGAATTTGTTTGGTTTAATTTGATTTTAATTTTTTATATTTTCTTTGACTCTGTTAACTGAACCAAATGTATTTTTATTATTATTATATCTTAAAATTTTATTAATAATTATATTTTGTTCAGTTCAAAATATTTAAAAATATTTTTTATTTAATTGAAATTTTAATATATATTTTTTTTTAATTTCGATTTTGTTCGAATTATTTGTAAATATGACAAATATTTTCGATTAATCAAAATTTCCACGTCGGATACAATTCACAATTTCAGGTATTTCGGCTCGATTCGATTTATTTGCAAATATTTTAGATTAACCAAAAATTCGGTCAGCCGAATATTTTAATTCGAATAGCGTTAGCAATTTCGCTATTAAAAAATGAAATTCCTTTGTTGAAATATTAGTTATTTGATGGAAACAAGATAATTTATAAAAGTTCACACTCCTATCAACTAAAATACCTTCGAAGTTACATTCAAATTAAGTTTAAGCCACCCTAAGGTATCTGCTCGGCTTTACTCATGAGTTTGAGCAAAGAGTTGGCCTTCCTCTGCCCTCTTTCCGTACCATTCTTACAAACTTCTACCAGAGCTTCATACACACCGTATTGCAGCGCTGCAAGAATCAGGTTGCTGTTGTTCGAACCGAGCTCCAGGAGCACGGCCGTCGCGCACTCCCGGTTCTTCGGCGTCCCGTCTCCGATGAACTTCACCAGCCTCCCGATAAACGGGAGCTGCCCGAGCTCTCTCCTCCCCTTCGAACTCGACGCGAGGATCAGCAGCGTCGACAGCGTCTCGTTGATCATGTCGAGATGCGGGTCGTCGAGCACTCTGAGCAACGGCGGGACGATGCCAGCCTCGATCGCGCCGTCTTTGTTGGAAGGGCTCAGGCAGAGGTTGAAGAGCGCCGTCATCGCGTCCTTCTTCCCTCTCGCCGTCCCGGTTTTGAGCAGATCGACTAACGGCGGGATCCCGTTCAATTCTCCTATTCTCGTCTTGTTCTCGTTGATCATCGACAGGCTGAAGAGCGCTGCCGCCGAGTTCTCCTTGGCTCCAACAGTTCCTTTCCGTAGAATCTCGATGATGGCAGGGAGGGCAACGTCCTCCTTCGATATTAGCTGTTTGTTCGTTTTGTCGATCGACAGGTTCAGAATCGCCGTCACGGATTGTTCCTGGATCGACGAGTCCCGATAGGATAGGAGCCGCAAGAGGGGCCGGATTCCGCCGACATTTGCGATCAGAGTTCGGTTCTCGGGGCTCTCTTTCGACAGTAAACGGATCGTAGTCACTGCTTTGCGCAGCTCATCCGAATTGCTCGACGATAGCTTCTCGACTAAGGATGATATATCGTCTGCGCTACACGGTGCTGCCTCGGCGGCGGATACATTTTCGCGCTTCTTCGACGGATGATAGTTGTTCTTCTCACACCATTGCACAATCAGGTTCTTGAGAGCGACGTTTGGGGTCAACAATACGTGTTCCAAAACTTTCCCAGTTTTCGGACAGGTTCGACGATCAGAAGCCAGCCATTCCTCTATACTATCCCTTTCCAAAACTTTCCCGGTTTTTGGACAGGTTCGACGATCAGAAGCCAGCCATTTCTCTATATTATCCCTTTCATACGTCTGCGACATTGCAAGAAATAAACTAAACACCAACCAACAAACAACACAAAACAAATCCGAAAGATCGGGGCACCAATACCTGCCCTGTGGCGACTATAACCGGATCTGTCATGATCTCCATTGTGATCGGGCACAAGAATTCTTTCGGGATGACAACGGGGTTGATTTTGGCTAGGGGTTTGGATGCGGTGGTTACGTGGAATAGATCATCTTCCGGGACACCGGCTACCCTCTTGAACTTGTTCAGAAGATTTATGATTTGCTCGGTGCTCTCTGCGCTGCGGCCCTTTCGCTCCTTTACGAGTTTTTGTATGGCTAGAGTTTCTTGTTGCAGTTCTTCGGGAGTGTGCAAATGCAGCTTGTTTGACAGCCTTTCGATGCTGGCGATGTCGGCGTTTCTGTCGTTGTTCGTGGACAGGACAACCATCAAATCCATTATCAGCTCAATGTCTTGTGTGTCTGTTCTTCTTTTAGCTTTTCTCAGCTGCTTGTGCAGCAGCTCAACCTGAAATCCATGGCGTCGAATCCTCAATTGTTTGAATCAAAAAAAAATTTGTAGCTACTGTGATATGAATTTATTTATTGTACCAATGCGAAGCAGAGCAGTTTGCAGTTTGATTGTATGGAAGAGATGATAAGTAGAAATCAATTAATTACTTGTTCTTGCTCTTCTTCGGATATTCCGAGCTCCTCGTATGGCATTCCATCAAGAGCTTGGCAGATCTTCTCGTATACTCCCTGAGATCTCACCATCATAGCCTCGCTTTCGATTGCCTACGGATTTTGAGCAGAAGAACAATTGATTTGGTTTATTTGAGAAGAGGAATTTGAAATTGGGGGAAAATTTAAAATTAAAAACCCTAGGTCCCCAATTACCAGGAAAATCTTGCTGCCGCTTTGGCACAGCTTGAGGAATTTCTTCGCGCATTTGAAAGCCTTCTTAAGCTTCGTCAGACAAACGACCGCCGATTTGGGGATCGGCGCCGCCTCCGTCGACGACCGGCGTTTGATCTCCTCGAGAAACGGAAGGAAGAAGCTCAATCTCCGCACGAGATTGAGGCACTCTTTCCTCTGAGTCAGCCTGTATTCTCCGATGACATTTACGGATTCGGCGATCTGGATGATATCGTCGACGAGAGCGTCGCCGCCGTCCACCGGAGCGCAGGGACTCGAGTGCCACCCTTGGTCCATGGCTGGATTCCGCTGCTCTTCTCCCTTGATTCCCCAAACGGATCATCTGATCGACGCCAACGCCTACCAAATGCCATCGTCGAGTCGAATTTTCCCTCTCAGTTATTTTTGGTGTTGAAGGCAGATTTTTCGGAATTGAATGGATGATCGTTGGGGATATGAACAATTTTCATTTTATATGTTTTCGCGGGCATCCAATTTATGGAAAATATTTGATTTTATTTATTTTATTTGCTGGCCACTTTCCTAAATTCGAAGGAAAATGGAATTGCGTTTGGCAGCTAAATTTGTAATATACTATTAGTTATTTGTATGATAGTTAAAAGCGTTTTGATTACGGTAATTATTAAATGTCAACAGTTAGATCTTATTATTATTATAATATTCTATAGTCCATAATAAATAAGATTAAATTTATAATTTGGCTATAAAAAAAATTAATTTATATCTAAAAAAATAATAATAATAATTTCTAAGGTATAAATGAATTTTGAAAAATAGATATAACGACTACTTGTAAGTATAAAGTTCGACTCATTGTCAATGATGGAGTTGGGTAAATCAGCACCCATGTTGTTGTGATGTTGATTAGTGTAGAATTTATATATATAATTATATTAATTATATAATTTTTGTTGATTAGGACAATATTCATTTGAATTTTTTTTTTTTTAAATTGCACATAATTCATCCGTGATTTTATAAAATTGCACCAAATTCTTATGCTTCTAAAATTACGTTAAACTCTCTTGTGGTTTTATAAACTTTGCGTCTAACCTCTCAGCGGTCCTTATTTAACGGTATTTGATCTAAATGCGCTGCGAATAAATTTTAGAATCTCAATTTCTAAACCCCTAAAATTACAAATATATTTATTCTTTTTATATTTACCCTAAAAAACAAGTAAATATACTAAAAAAAGTTAGGGTGCGTTTGCTTGGGGTTTGGATTTTGAGTTGAGATTTGAATAGTAAAATTTGAATTTGAATAGTTGTATGATGTGATATAAATAGGTGTTGATGTGATATTTTGAATGTAAATTTATTTTTAGTATAATATAGAAAATAAAAAATAAGTGTTTGATTTGATATTTTTGGGGGAAAAATGAGATGAATAGTGGAAATAAAATCCAATCTCCCAAACAAACACACCCTAATAGATATGAAAATTGATTTCTTTAAATGATAAATTAGAAAAATAAATTTATATGGAACAATAAAAATAACTTGTTAACAAAGAAAAAAAATGTATTTGAACTAATAAAATTCATTTATGAACTAAAACAAGTATTTTTACAATAGTATTTTAAATTTGATAATGTAATATTATCAAATAATTTCAAAATTAATGAATATGACAAATGTCTCTACATAAAAAAATATATATCTATTGGAAGCTAGTGCTTCTGCTAATAATATAATGTGATAACCAAATTGAAAAAAAAAAAAAAACCAACAAAAGTAAATCTTATATATCCACCGCAAACTTAACATTGTGAGATATTTTAATTACTAGTGAGATAATAATTATTTACTACATAAGGTCAATATAAATGCTTTTGGATTTGCTATTATAATGATTACATCAAGATCAAATATATAAATTGCTAAAAGAGATGAACTTAAAGTCCACAGGGTCACAATGGTAACTTAATCAAATTATTTGGAAATTCTAAATCTTGGTTCAGTAGAGAAAAACTATGTTATAAAAGTCTGATACAAACATTCGATTGTCATTTCCTAAAAAACAACAAATGTTAAGTAGTGTAAATGTGGTGAAATTGAGTCATTGACTTTTAATACTCTTTAAAAATAAAGCTGAATATTTTAATAAATAGATTACGTACTTGTATAAGTGTGAAGCGAAAGTTGTTTCAACCGAAACACTTCTAAACCTAAAGATGTGATTCATAACCGAAATAAATCAAAATATGATTGAAATAGTTAACATGTCAATGTTATTTGACTAAGATGTACTTAAGGTAGAATAGTTTAATATATCGTATCAACTAGACCACCAGTGTATCCAGTAAGACTGATTAAGAAGAATTCAAACCAACAAACGTGTCAATATTTATCTAAACTTGAGTTATGTATTTGTTCTAATAATGGTTATTTACTCATGCGAGGATTATAATAATCATCTCCGGCAGGGAGAACACGAGCACGATCCAAGTGGAATTCGCGATTTTAAACCATCCAAGTGTCTTCAAGGTTGTTGGTCGGATGGTCACTGGGGCAAGACACCGTGAACTCAAGGATGGTTTAGCGTACGCGCTGAGGATATCGTCAAATATTGCTGCAACAAGCTATTGCATTACATTGCGCCGATGACCGTTGTGTTCAAGGAATTGCTGAAGACATTAACCAAGAAGATATAGAAGTTTGTTTTCCGACAAAAAGCTAAGTAGTATTAACAACACCTCAAATATAAAAATGCATGAAATATAAAGACCAGCAAAATATATTTATTGATCAAACAACTTTATTACTTTATATTATATATATATATATATATATACATTGGATTTATAGAGTAAGAGTTTGGAACAAGAAGCAAATGCATTCGTTTGAAGATTTGGATTTTGAGTTGATATTTGAATAGTAAAAATTTTGAATTGAAATAGTTGTATAATGTGATATAGATAGACATTAATGTGATGTTTTAAATATAAAATTGATTTTTAAAATAATATAAAAAATAAAAATAGGTGTTTGATGTGATATTTTTAGATGAAAAATTTTGGATGAATAATCTCTTTCCTTTTTTCTTTTTTCTTTTATTTTTTATTTTGAATAGTTACGGTTTGAGATCTATAATACTATTAGATTTTATTGCATTTGTTTCAAAATATATTTTGTAAATATTTAAATATTGCTGAAAAGATAATTCATACAATATATATTATCATTGAATATAAAAGATATTTTATACTATACACCCTTATAAAGTAAGAATTATTCATGTCCAGTAAAAAATGGTTGTGTGAAAATAGACTTGTGACCATGAAATTATTGGTTCAAACTTCAATATGTTTACATCTTTGTCTTCTCAAATTTAGCTTACATACTATTAATTCGATTGTAGCCCTAAGAAAAAAAAAAAAAAAAAATTCCATATTATTTACATATTATTTTTTCACATGCTTAACCATTATCATATACATTAATAGTCTTATAAATATTTCTATCTATTGATAAATGATAATATTAAGAATCATATATTTATAATAATTGATTGAAGCGAAAATTGGGCCACGCTAGCCACGGGGAATATATCCATATATATAACAGCAACAATGCTCAAACAAGTTTGGGACCGCAGCTCCATGGACTGATTAACTGATGCTGGGTCCGGTCACGTGCCTCTCACGTGTCTTCAACGATCAATATTTGTACTGACGTGCTTTTTGCAGGCGGAGCAGTACAGAGAAGAGAGCTCGCAGATTCGCACTCCGATTTCAGGAGAACGGAAAAGCCTACAGATGATACTCTCTCTCCTTTTCCTCTCTCTAAACCTCTCCTCTCTTTTCCGTCTCTCCGCCTCCAGAGGCTCCGCCGCGGACCGCTTCTATCGCTCAGGTGGTTTTTTTTCGTGATCTGAGCTCGAATTGTTTGTTTTTAATTTCGGAAATTGAAATTTTGGATGTGAGGGAATAATGATGTTTCGAATTACGTTGTTAGTGCGGATAAATCTGGCATCTGTTGATTAACAATGGAGTTTAGAAGCGGTATTGATTGTTTTTGGGATGTTGACAAATTTTCATCGCGGAAATTCGGATCGCAGGGAATCGGATTCGTTTTATTTAGCTTAATGAACATGCTGTGATGTTTACCTTCCAAATGTGATGCTATTTAATTATCATAACTTACCATACCGTCTACAAAGCTTCATGTCCTGGCAGATTTGCATATCCTTGATTATTATAATTATTATTTTTCTTAATTTTTTGTCAGGTGATGTTCATGTTGATGGTATTTATGTGCGTTCAGGTAGGCAGTTACTTGCGGGTGAAAACTTTAGGATGACTGAGGAACAGTACATTCAGATGCTGTACGTTCTTAATTGTTTGCCTGTCATTCCTAATTTTCTCTAGCTGGTTAATGGATGTTTAATTTGAATGATTTACATATATGGAACGATTAATTTGTGCCAAAGCATGATCTTTGTTTGTTTCATGCAGTGATAAGTTAGCGCAAGGGTATATGAGTAACTTTGATCTCGACAAAGCAATAAAGGATTTTCACCGACGATGTAGCAATATTTCTAGAATATACAGGTAATATTGATCTATCTTCACACTTATTTCATTACCCTCCCCCTATGAAGTATAACTGTACAAAAGAGAATTATGATCCTATACCCTTAAGTAACCCAAGTAGTGCCCAACAACTTGAAAGTATGCAGTTAATTATCACTTGTTGTAATAGTACTTTTCTCAGGGTTATACATTTGTCTGACACATCGTGCTTTGTCTCTTTGGGATGATTTCATAATCAGTATTGGGAAAAGTGTCCTTGGAGTTCCTCTGGTACTACTGATTCTCTTAAAAATTTTGTAGTTCATGATATTTCAATCATAAGGTCTGCAGACATATGTATTCCATCAACCATGAGCTATTATTCACTGTCTCTTGTTTTTTTTCTGGCCTAGTGGACAATAGAAATTTCTAACATGCCAGGGAAGAAGGAGGCGGAGCCGGCTTTCAAGGTAGTGCTATTTAACCATCGTTTCTCCCGAGGCTCTGTTTACTTGTCTTGCCTAGAAATTGCTGACCATAGAACTTAAATATAGCTGGGGCATAGTCTGCGAGTATTGAAAAATGACATAATATACTGATCATGTGTATCATTGCTTATTGGATATATTAGTGAACAAGTTCCGCTTAAATTTGTTTTTACTGCCAATATTTCAATTCAGGCATATGTTTTTATGATACAAGAAATAGTTCCCAAATAAGCCTTCTATTGCAGTTCATCGGGAATGTGCATGGTGATGAACCTGTAGGCCGCGAGCTTCTGCTTCTTCTGGCCAATTGGCTTTGTGACAATTATAAGAGTGATCCTTTGGTAATACCTACTTGTAAAATCCTCTTTTATTCATTTTCTGTTGACTCATTAGATTTTCCAACTTGAAGTGAGTTCTTGGTACCAAAGAGAGACCCTTTGGTATTACTTTCTCTTTTGGTACTTATTATGATTTAATAGAAATCATGAGCAAGTTTAAGAATAACATTATTCTCTATTCAATTTAGAAATATGTTTCTTTGAGTCTGTATATGAGGACAATCATGTTCTTTTAAAGTCAGTTAAGAGTTGCTTCTTTTCTTGTCCTGTAAACTGGAAAAATCAATATTTACTGCATCGAGGACTGTGGCATGTGAGTAAAATAGCCTATCAAATCTTACCACGGGTAGCTCTGTATTTCATTCCAATGGACATTCTTTTCAGATTGGAAACATTTCTCAGTTTCTGTTCAAATTGTTGATATGACTTCCATTGAAAGTACTTACTTATTATGCAGTGGTTTCTTCTGCACACCTTGTCATCTGTGCATTTTGTTTTGTCTGATATGCGTTAACATGGTTCTAATAAATAGGCAACCTTGATTGTGGATAATGTTCACCTTCATATACTTCCATCAATGAATCCTGATGGATTTGCTCTGAGGCGAAGGAACAACGCAAACAACATTGATTTGAATCGTGATTTTCCAGATCAGGTATTTTTCTGCAGCATGCATGTCTGAAGACATCTACTCTTCACCTCAAATTATTATGTATATTTTAATTAATTGAGTTACAAATACTCTAAAAGGAAATGAATAAATTTTAGATAAGCCTTTAAATACCAAATATATATGAATATTAATTGCTAATTGTAATAGGCTTGTTCGTTTTTGATAAGCAGCATGAATGTTTTAATTCATTTTATTTATTCATTTATTTTTATTGTAATACTTTATTATTAAGAGCATTTATTAACATGATTGACATAGTTCTTTCCTCTGAATGATGATATGGATCTTCGACAACCTGAAACGAAAGCAATTATGAATTGGGTGGATGATATAGAGTTTACAGCATCTGCCAGCTTGCATGGGGTAATGTTTTCTGTCTTCTTTGAAACTTGACAGACGAAACTCTAGTGCTTGATGTTGTACTGGAAACAAATCACATGTTAACATTTTCAAGCTTTCGACAACCGTGTGTATGGGGTTTTATAGAACTCTTGTCAAATTTTTATCTATTTTTCATGAGACTGGTTATTTAAAAAAAAGGTACCAAGTTTATTTAACCTGTGACAGATTCCATGATCAAGAGGAACATTTTCTTATCAACATTATGCATAATATTTGTCTTATTCAACCATTTTGCTCGGACGCATTTTTTGGAATTGTTAAAGTTATCAGAGTGGGTAGGAAGGTTACTTCTCTTGCTATATGATCAAAACCAGTACTTTTACATGCTAGGTGCCAATCTCATGAAAGGCCAAAATATATGATTAAAAAGATAAGCTAGATTTAGATAGTTTCCAGTTTTGTGTTGATAACTTATTGTCCTATCCTCATTAACAGGGAGCGCTTGTTGCAAACTATCCATGGGATGGAACTGAAGATAAAAAGTGAGTTGTCTGATGTTATTCCTTGAATTTCCTAGTGATGGGATTTCAGATTTATATAACCCTCTACTATGATAGCATATTCATCTGGGCTTGATATTCGTTATTTTAAGAACTTGTGCTAGTTGTTTGTGACATTCATTTATTGTTACTTTTCTCACTCAGCATTCTCTGTTTTGCTATGATTTCTGACTTTAGAACTTTGTGATCTTTATTTCCATTTCTTTCGTTGTTTTTTTTTTAATTGATCATTTTCAGGAGAAAGTACTACGGATGTCCTGATGATGAGACTTACAAATTTTTGGCAACATTATATAGTGGATCGCATTACAATATGTCCAAAAGTACAGAATTTCCTCAAGGGATTACAAATGGAGCTTTATGGTTTGTGTGTGGAATATAGTTTCATGCTCATTTTCCTCATTCTGTACAAGCAGTTTTGTGACTTTGCATTAAATTGTCATGAATTGCTAACTTCCGTCATTTGTCTCTCCTTTTCAGGTATCCAATTTATGGTGGCATGCAAGATTGGAATTACATTCATCATGGTTGTTTTGAACTTACATTGGAGATTAGCGACAATAAATGGCCTAATGCTAGTGAGGTAAGATGTCAGTTTGTGTTTGTGGTCTACCTATATATAGCAATTTCATGCTGGATACTGCAGATCTTGCATTACTGCTTCAGTTTATACTAAGTTCAGGGCGCAATCTGATGTTGCAGCTTCCAACTCTATGGGAATATAATCGAATGAGCATGCTGAACCTTGTTGCAGGTATAGTTAAGGTATGTTCAAGCAGGTCCTAGAAAAACGCATAAATATCTTCCCCCCCCCCCTCTCTTTACATATATATATATATACATATACACACATTTCCAGTGATATTTTATAAAACTTATGTCATTCATGTCTTGTGATCCCCCTCTTTAATATAGTCACTGTTCCTTTAGTTGCTATGGTACTATTTTTTAGTGATCCCACCTGCTACCTATATTTTGTTGATGTTCATTTATTTACTTAATTTTGTAGAAACATGCTTTTTGAAATGAGAAGATTCAATAGAACAAACAACACTTCACACACAAAAAGTTTTACATTGATAATATTTTGACATGCCATGAGAAATTGAATATGGAAGTTCTACGACTATATATTTGTTGAACATCTATGTAATTCAATTGAGAAAGGGTTACAGTTTATAAGATTCTTCATGCTCACTCTTAGGATCTACTATATATATATATATTATATATATGTGATGGTGGTTACGGTGCTGATTAAATATATATCTATGTGTGTGTCTTCTCAGAAGTATGAAGTCATGTGTTCACAAGTGTGCTATTACCTTTTATAACTGCTTGCACTTTATCACAACAGACAGGAATTCATGGGCGCGTTATATCATCTGATGAAGGAAAACCATTGCCTGCATCAATAACTCTCAGGGGAATAAACTACACGGTATGATTTTGGATTGGCCTTACTCGGCCATCTGTTACAACTGTAAATTGATAGTACTCAACCACAGGTCTATTCTGGTATTTGTTACAGTATTTGTACAATAATTTCCTTGCATTTTCTTCTATTATCATTGACAGATCGCTGCAAGTAAATCACTTGCTGATTATCATCGTTTAGTAGCTCCTGGACAAACATACGAAGGTATTTGACCCAATCTGAAGCTGAAAAACCGAAGTCTTTCTGCTTCTCCCTCCTCTCTATTTATGCACACACACACACATATGTCCGAGGATATGGTTACTATGTTGACCGGGGGAAATCAGCATGGTGCTGATTTGTCGCGGTCAACACATGTGAAATACGTGGACATCACATATTTTTATTTAAGGCACATACTATAATTGCTATGAATTATACTTTCCCTAGGAAAACTTGCATCAGTAAAATTTGAGTTTCAGGTCCAATCAAAGCCATATAATTTAATTAATCCATTATTTGCTTATTCTCTCATTTTTATTTTTGGTTTTCTCTAGTACACAAATTGAAGTGTTATCTGTTCAACATCTTACTTCGTAGTAGATATAGAGAACAACCTATTCTCTACTTTATTCTAAATATTTGAAAACATTTGTCTGGTCTATGAACTAAATGCTACAGTTACATAAAAACTGTTCAAAACAACACTGAGGGAATATCATCGATGCTTATCTAAAACCCAAGCATGAAGTTGCATTATAAATATGATCTTGCAGTTATTGTGACAATGCCTGGATACAAGCCAAAGAGTGCTTGCGTGGACGGGGACAGAGCAGTCACCATAGACTTTGTGCTCGAGCCTGCCCACGGCAATGACAGCCAAGTTTTAGAGGGATCGGGTTGCTACATTGGGAGCAAGTCCAGGTTCCAAGTGATGGAGTACATGCCGGAGCCGCAACTGCAACTGTATGTGTTATTAATAATACTAATATCGGCTTTTCTTTGTTTAGCAATGAGGAAGAAGAGTTTGAGATCCAATCATCATATGGTAAACCAAAGACACTCCCCACAGCCTAAACGTGCGGCTGTTTGACTCCAACCAGTAAGTTTTTCCATTTTCTTTTCTTGCTTTTTCTTTTGTTCTGTATTATTGCCACATAGAAATCATATGAATGAATGCATACATACGTCGGTAGATGGATAGTTTATATTTATTTTGTGACAATTTGAGCAATGAGCTGATAGATTTGTTCCAAGTTTGTGTATTGAGGTATTTTAGTATGTTTTCAATAAAAGTAAGATTTTTGATCTGATTTTTCGAAAAATAAAAGTAGTTTTGTGTTTGGTGTTTTTAGAGGAAATTTCGAAAATGGGAAATGGTTTGGACGCTTGTTACCCTAATTATTAAACAAAATATGAACAGTCATCACTTAGTATAGTATATATTGTATCACATAGTACAATATGTATGTATAAAGATATACACTTAGAAACATTTTGTGTTAAAATCAATGATAAAATGTTCATATTTGTAATTATGTAGAGAATAAATATATTGTGTAAAGATTCAGTGATAATAGTAGAGCACTTTTACTGTCCATTAAATCTATGTTCGTTTTATTTGTTTTAAAAAATATGTACTTTTCATCTATAGCAAGTATCTCGCATATGTGCCTATAATATCTATAAATTTAATTTATCCAGAAAAATTTATCACCTCATTAATTTCTCTAAATATTCTTATTTTATATATCAATATAATACTATATTCGTTAAAATCTAAATCGAGCTCATGAACATGTTTTTGTGGACGGAGGGAAGTATTAGGTAGCAAGCAAGAAGTAGAGTTTAGGAACCTCTAACTTAAACTTGACTTACTGGATCATCATCATCAACATCAACATCTAATCACACAGAATTCTATTCTAATTCTTATCTGCTGCTGCTGCTGATTCAACATAAAATCCAACCACTAACTAACTCAATCATACAACCAAACACACAAAGAGAACAGATCATCCGTCCGATCATTGAGTCGGACGAGAGGTCTAGTGGATCGATCAAGTGAATGCAATAATAAGGCAGCAAACCAAACCAAACCAAAACAAAACCATTATTAGTGTCGACAACTTGTAAATTATTAAGCCCTTACTTGCTTGGTTTTCTCCTCTCCTCTCCTCTCCAGCTGTGTCTTTCTCTCAAGCTTCGCCCTCTCCTGTACTCGATTTCTGCATCTGAACTCGATGCTCCAACCTCGTGTTTCCTGCCATTTGTACCCATCTTAGAGAGTATGTCATCGTCCCCCTCACTCTGAATCTGGTCATTAACCAAGCTTCGACCGGATTGTTTCTGTGGCCCTTGGCCTAATACAGCAATTTAAATGTTAAGTTTACTCATGGCGACGAAAAGGGATGCCATATGATGAAGACTTGGAAATACAAAAAGAAAGAGACGTATACTTGCCTACATTCAATCTCATGATCAAAGAGCAGTATAATGTAATTTAGACAAAGTTTGACTATCTCAACACAACACTTGGGTATTTGAAGGCATGGCTAGTGCTCTAACGATCTCATTTACATTTATGTTTTGCGTGTTGATCTTTAAATATTAATTATTATATCAAAACTTAGTACAAATTAAAAAAAATTGCATAAATACTTCTATTAGTGTCTTTTGCGTCATTGTACTAAACATTAAATATAATTTTTTTCTGTACAAATGTCCTTCTATTAATATATAAGACACTAATGAAAGTATTTTTGTAATTTTTTTTTTTAGTTTGTATTACGTTTTATTAATATTCAAATATCAATAAGTAAAAGGTAAATGAGATCGTTAGAGCCGAACGGAGATAGTATTTAATAAAAAGCAACAATTTGAACACACAAAATACCATACCTGTAATAATATCACAATTGCCCGTACTAACAACAAAGACACTTAAAACTATAAACACTAATTCAATCTAAAACACTACAATAAAAACAAAATTTGTATATTAAAAATAATACTACTTCCGTCCGGCTCTAAGAGTTCCATTTACTTTTTGCGTGTTAACTCCAAAATGCAAGAAACACTATATATATATATATATATATATACTCAAATATTGATCATTCATTTACCTTCAAGATTAGCATATGAGTGTTTGGCAATGGGCGAAGTAGAAGAACCTTCCTGTCCTTTTTCTGTCCCTGAATTCCCTCTATCTCCCGCCAACATACAATCCTCTCGGACAGCTTTATCACAAAGAACAGGTGGTGGCATGCTAAAGGAGCCCTCCTCTAGAACATCCGAAATCTCGACATAATTCGGCGTAGTGATGATCTCATCAGCGCTGAATCCGAAAGATGCTCTATAAGCATCCAGTTCCTCAGCATCCGGCCTGCAAACCTTGTTCTGCCGATTCTGATAACCATTCCCAGCATTCGAGTAAGCATCCGAATCTTTCGAAATACTCAGCCTACCACCAGCATTAGTAAATGACGACTGCTCGTAGAATTGGGCGAATGTCTCCGGGCAAAAGAAGTTAGTGTCTTGACGAGATCTCTCATTAAATGGCGTCGATGAACAGTCGCCAGATGCACCTGAAACCACCGGTGATCTGAGTGCGCCGCCTGCAGGGCTTCCGGGAGAGAGTGGATATGCAGCTTGAAGATCGGAAGCAGCATAGTTATTACCCTTTTCAGTGCTTTTCATTCCCAGAGATGATGTTAAGAAAAGAGCATATGGCACGTCCGGGGATGATGGAGTTGTTAAGTGCGCCAGCTCCGGTGGGGGCGTTACAGGAGCTGTAGATGGCTCGGTAGTGAAGGTTGAGAATACGGGAGGGGTTACCGGTTGAGTCTCGTGAGCATAAGGCCCCGTCATGTACATTGTAGATGAAGGAGCTTCGGGTGAATTGGCAGATACGAAACAGTTTGGTGACTGAGCAGTTGATGGGATGCCGGAGTTTGAGAACGAAGCTGGAGAAGATGGAGGAGCGAAAATAGATGCTGCAATTCCGATCATCTGGTTTGGTAGCCCTACTGGTTGAGGTCCATTGTGTTGATTCAGTAGAGGATTAGCTTCCGGCATTCGAGATGAAGGAACTATACGCTTTCCGCGCTTTTGTTTGGAGAAGAAAGACATTCCGCCCCAACATCCTCCCCATCTCTTCCGCTGTCGAAATGGGAAAGTATTATTAGGCACAAATGCTTAGGGAAAAAGAGTTGCTATGGCAGAATAGAACTGAAAGAAATTGATGTTAACTACAGAACTTGTATCGATTATACGTGGAAATTAACACATGTCTATGATCAGCCAATGTTAACATTCATCGACAAAATATGTTGTACGAAAGCAATTCCTAAAAGCCTCTGTCACAAAACCAAGGTTCCGTTTATACAGAAGTTTTGGAAATTCTTGAGAATAAGATGAAAACTGTATTTTGATGTGATGTTAATTACTGTCGATGAATAGTGCAAAAAGTTTCAAGTGTGTTAAAACAGAGCAAAGTATTAATATGACACCCAAATGAAATAGCATAACCTCTTTAGGACAACATGATTCAACGAAGTAATCGTTATAGCACTCTTCTATTGCAATTACTATCGCGACTAGAATCTACATAAGATCATGACCAGATAATTATATCCCTAGACTGGACAAAATACAAAAAGCTGGTGATTAGAGTGTTAAGGTAATTGAAGCAACTTATTGGATCATATAGATATATCATATATCAACATACCCGTGGAGCTGGCCGTAGCTGAGGCTGCAGGAATCTATTCTGCTCTAACGCCATAGCAATCAGGCGTGTGACGCACTGCGCAGTGAAGCTCCGTAATTTTTTTTAGCAACAATTGATCCTATTTATCTCTTCCATGAACGCGTGGTGTTCTTCTACCAAATATATATATATATATATATATATGTCGATATGTTGATTAGATTCTAGAAGCATACACATCAACTAGTCCATTTTATGAACAAAACTCAAATCCTAAGAATGGAAAAAACTAGTAGAATCATGAACTTTCTATGGACAAGAGTTTGCATTCGACTGCAAACACAGAATTACAAACAGCTATTAATGTAAATCATCTGCAGTCAAAGAAAGGCTACACAGATCAATCTGGCATTGGCTTTAGCAAATAATATCCCTCAGAAGAAACCACTTTACAATTTAAACTATGGTGTTTGCTTATCTCTTCGTACACTAAAAAATTTTTTGTATAAAACATTACGTGCAAAAGCTATATCCATTATCTAAAACACCTATAATCACTAAAAGTAACACTTCCAAATACAGACAAACACAGCAATAAATTCCAGAAGCTAAGACAGTTTCCAGTTTTTGGACATGGCGTTTCCTTATGTCATCTACTGGAATAATTCCAAAAACAAAATCACTCAATTACATCATTATCTCAAACAAGCAAAATCACATAAATAAAAACAGGAAGCAGAGAAAGCAAAATCGCTCAACCAACATTCATTCTCCTACACTCCTCAATCCTAATTCCTAAATCTTCACCATAAAGTAATATCAAAAGCATTTCAGAGACCAAACCTGCGCTTACCAGATATCATCAACAAGCAGCTTCCACTTCCAGTCTACATTTCCCAGCAACGCAATCTACGCTCCAGAACTCCGAGATCTGCCGAAGCCGAGTCACGATGGAGCTTAAAAGGAGGTTGAAGTAATGGCGAGAGCGCATTCCAATGCCGAAGGCGTAGAGAAAAGCACAAAGGGGACAGATCTAATCCCTGTCTGTCTCTGCTCTTTGATTGATTGCAGCGTTTGATAAAATTTTGCTTTCTCTTTACTCTTTTTTTTGCGGCTGCTTTTCCTTTTTCCTTTTTTTTTTTCTTCGAAAAAATAAATAAAATAAAATTTCAAAATATATCACGGCGGGTACACTAACGGCGTTACTTAACGTGAAGTTCTTGCCTAGGTGGATGGACGCTTTTGCCCCTGAAGTCTAACGTTTAGACATCTCTCCTCCATGTATTTTTGCATTATCAATTAATTACTTCAGTAATTCAATTCCAATCGTATCATAAGATTAGTTAATATTCTCTTCATATTTTATTTTCTAATTTTTAAATTTACAAATAATATTTTAGTCTTATAGTAAAATTAAATTTATTATTTAATTATACTCCTTATGTCCCATTTGACACATTTGCGGGGGAGCAGCAACGGCAATTGGAGCAGCGATAGATGTGTAGAAGCTTTCCATGTCTAATGACTTCATGTTGAATTATTTTTTTTGTCTCCAAAAGTAAAAAAATACCAAAAAATTTCAATCAAATCTCATTCATTAAACTGATAACTGATGGTTACACTGTTGAATTTTGTACTGATATCACAAAAATTGTACTAAGAACATATTTTTAATTTTCTACAATTTTCACCGCCAGCAAAAAAGCAAAATTGTGTGTAAATTTATATAACAATAAAAAAAAATAAAATAAATTTGAATGACCGAAGGATTATTATCAAACATATGTAATACATCCACAAAACTGACTTTAAAAACACATTTATAAGAGTCGAAACTGAGCCTATAATTTCATTGCAAAAGCATGAAGTTAATGCTTCTCTTCACCAATTTTTTCCAAAGATATCATATCAAATACAGAGTCTAACCGAAAATGCAAATGCAGGCAGCGTAAGAGACGAAGTATCTATGGAGATGAAGCTGGGATTTGGAAGTTTGATAAAAATTCGAAGCTTCTAGAGTGACAGATTCCGACAAACAAAACATAAGCCTCTCAAAAACTCGAAAATTGGCTCCAAGTTTACAACCTCAGTTTTAACGATCCAAGGCGCCAACACAAAACCAAGAGTTAAGCGACACATTGCACGCAAATGCAAAAGAATGGCCGGCCAGCTACAAAATAGAAGAAGCTTAAAAGCGACACATCCATGTCTGAGTAAAAGCTCACCATGAGTGTTAGCTACGAAGAAGACTACCATACCAACCATGTCCGGATCAGCATGCACATCCACCTTGCTGCTGCTCTGTTTCTGAAACCACGTCAGGAATGCCTTGGAAGTATCTGCAGGAGTTGTTGATTAGCGAGTCAGAGGCGAAAAATTAGGATGGAAAACAGAAAAAAACAGCAAGTTGTATGGAAGATCGATAAAATTACTTATAACCCATTTATAGTTTGAAGAGTACCATTTCTCTTATGATATAAAAATTACACACCTGTTTTCAAAATCATTGCACAAATTTTGTAGCTTCTAAATGTTTGCTAAAACACGATAGAGGTTTTTCAAACCACATATGGGTTATAACTTATAAGCAATTTTGCCTATTTTAATGGTAAAACACAGTCTAGATTTTGATGTTTCCATTTATATTCTTCGACTTCAGAAAGATTTTGTACAGATAAGTCACATATTGAAATGTAAACATCATCCGATTCCCAGTGGTGGAGAATAACTCCAAGATTACATAGCCCCGGCCGCCCTAAATGTATGCATATAATTTAAGGCGTGTAGGTGTAGTTGTGCAATGTAATGAATATAATCGTAAAAAATGGAGAAGTAAGCATAGAGTAATGAACAAAGTAGTAAAATGATAATGAAATTGAAACCTGACTTACATGTCCTGGTCATGCTCGTTAGCTAAAGCAGCCTTCGCAATACACAAGAATGCAGGATCAACATTGTAGTCCTCCCTTGCGGACGTCTCAAAGTAAGGTATACCGCTTTTCGATGCACACCATTCCTTAGCCTTCTTCTCTGAAACCTGTTATTTGGTTTACTAAGAGCTAAATTTGAAGAACGGATTAAGTGCCTCAAGAAATAGAACTTACCACTCTGCTATTACCACCGTCAATATCAACTTTGTTTCCTAGTAATATAAATGGAAACGTCTTTGGATCAGATGGGTTAGCCTGCATCATAACAGTGGCAATGCGCCAGTTTTTGAGTTACAATATAAACGCATCGGGCTAATCAAAATGGGGCATTTCAGTTTCAGGGATGGAAATTAAAGACTTATCATACTATATAGTTATGCAAAACAGTCACCGGAATAAGAATAAGCTATGCAGGATTTACGTGCTCGTAATCAAATCAATCGACCAGAATTTCCGATAAAAGAGAGAAGGAAGACACATTAGGTGGTATTAACTAACCAAAGATAGAGTTGATCACTGATCTTGAAACAGAAACATCAAGTCTGTTAGATTGTGTTTTGAATCCAATTTTTGTATTACGTAATGTAGTGTGTAATATCTTTTTTCAACAAGAAATCATCACTTCCAAAACTGATTTTCCATTTAACACAACACACCTAATGCCTGCTTTTCATTCGAAAATTTTCAAACACAAACACACATACCCCTAGTAACTATACAAAATAAGATAATTAATGTTATGGTGAATGGCAAGCAAATAAACAGGGTTATGACTGAAATAAATAGCTAAAATACCACACATTCACACAGCAATAGAGTTTACTGCCTCCTTTGAAAATTTAAATACCAATCTACTGATGTCACCTATGCACATAACCAGGTCACTAATGAAATCAATACATGATTGATGATTCCATAAAGCAAACATTCATGCAAGAGCTACCATAGTGGGAAGAAATATTAGTCGGCTGCTACATTAGGGGGACACACAATCTCTCAAATATGCTAACCTCGCAAGAAATATTTAGACCCTACGAGCAAAGAAGCAGATAGAGAACAAACAAACCAATGTTTTTACTACAAAGTATTTTACTGTTAATCTATCCATGTAGTAGGAAATTAAAGAGCAAAAACTCACATTTAGCCAAAAAAAAAAGGAAATAACTCCTATATGTCTCGGTGTCCTCATAAATCATAACGACTTAAAATAAATACAGAAGAATAACTAAAGTCACCATTTTGTCCAATCGCCATAGTACACACTTTAGCTCCAAAATTCAACAATCCCAAACTAATTGGCATAGCCATTCACTATGCCAATTAAAAAATTTTGAACCCCACAACCTACAATTTTCAAAACTCTCAGAATAAAGTTTGATCCCAAAATTCAAAATCTTGAAACCACTCAAATTTCATATACAAAGCAATTATTTCTTACCACTCCTGTGGAAATTTCACTAAACCAAATACCGCAGCCACTACTTGGTTCACTAATATGCATTATTTACTAAACTTTCAGCTACAAAAAACAAATCATAATTAATTGCATAAATCGAGCAACGAATGCACAAAAATAGAAGACAGCAGTCACCAACCTGCTTAAGAAATTCTTCATGCCAGTTGTCAAGGTTGTCGAAGGACCTCATTACATTCACGTCATAGACCAGGACACAGCAATCTGCCCCTCTATAGAATGCAACTCCAAGACTTTGAAATCTTTCTTGGCCAGCAGTGTCCCAAATCTACCAAACCCAACAAGAATATTATTCATCCCCATGGCTAACAATTCTTGCAAATTCAAATACAAAATCAAAGCTAAAAACCAAAACTATTAACCCACTTGAAGAGTTACAAGGCGATCGTCTATTTGAAGCTCCTTAGTGACGAAATCTGCCCCAATTGTAGCTTTATATTGCTGACTGAATTTCTTATGCACATATCTATTTCGTTAGTTAAAGAACAACCGCAACTAACGGCAATCAATTTTATCCAGCAAAAGAAAAAAGATGCAATCGATTAACTAGGGCACCAACAATTTCAAAATAAAAACATGAAAATAAAAAAGGATACTGGTTCATCAACGATGTCTTGCCCACTCTGCAACAAAACCAACACAAAAATCACACAACACGCTTAAATTTAAAACCCTATCCCCAAACGCAGAAACAATATCCGCAATCAAATTGAAATCTACAATACCCGCTGTCACCGAGGACAATGACTTTGAGCAATGTTCGCCTCCGCAGCGACATTTGATCGAGGAAAGTGAAACAAACCCTTCCTTTCAACTAAATTCGATACGAAAATCCGCGCGAGCTTCGGTGGCGCCAGAAGAGGGAAATAAACACCAAAAATGGCGGCGAATTCGATCGCAAATCGTCCGGCAATCACGATTGAACTCAGGCGGCCTAACTCACACCCAAAGTAGCGTCCAACAATACACATGCACGGGGTCCTTATTCTGTAGCTATTTTTTTCGCTTTTCTTAGCGGTCCCCTATCTTTGTATAATCTCACTTGAGCACAGAAATAAAATTATTCTTTCTAAAACACCCTCCTGTGGAATGTACCACAATATTCGAATCTTTGCAAAAGCCCCTCATCCACTATTCTTTTTAAAAGTTTCTTTATCTTTTGCTTACACAATGAATGATTTTGTTTGTTTGTTTCAATTTTACTATTCTATAATGTACATATATATATATATACATATATAATTTTTTATTTAAAAATACTCTAACATATCTAAAGAAATAAAAATGAAATTATACCATAATTTTTACTAATAATGTATTTGGATGCAACACTTGCATGTTTGCAATAAGAGAGAAGATGCATAGTGTTTGTTTTGTCTGAAAAAAAAAAAAAAAAATTAGAACAACGTAAAATGAACTGATACCATATTAGACAATATAAATAATCAATATAAATGATCGACTCATTTAAAAATTTGGGCTATTAGGATACATATCATTTATTTATTTAGAGTTAGGATACATATCATTTATTTATCTATTTATTTATCTAGAAACGAGAGTGTACTGATACTTATTATTGTACAAGGTTGTTGCTCATTTACAGAAAGACAGAGCTAAGAACATGCAAAAAAATCAATACCTCTGTTTCTTGTTCTGTTTCTGTATGTGTCTCGTCATCAAGCTCTGTTAAGCGTGGGAATGAGAACTCCGGTAATGGATTCCGGTGGTCGCCGGAAAGTGGTGCAGCCGCTCGATCAAGGTATCTTGAAGAGCTTCTTCAACTTGAACAGCAGTCGCCTTTCTTCGGCAGATAAATCGTCCTGTTTACAGACAAATTAGAGGAGCGTAACAACGCACGAAGATATAAACGGAGACGGTGAATGTACAAACCGCATAGTGTTCTTTCAGGGCATCGAGCGAGCTCCGGGAGATCCGGCTCACGAGCTCATCCTCAACCTCAAAGTGCCGGCCGAACATCTTCTGCTGTTCGTCGGGATTGTTGCCAATGATCTGCGTGAAAACAACAAGAAAATGACAAATAACATCGATCTATTACAACTTCAATCGTTATGTATTCCTACACAAGCAACAAGAATGTCGAAAAACACAAAATGAGTACCTTGATTGCAACCTGCTGGCCTTTCTTGGCGTAATCGACAGCCTTGTGATTGTTTTCGATTGAAGCGATCCGGCCGATTTCAGTGAACTCCTTTTGAGGAACGCATATAGGAGTTCCAACCTGTACGAGCATCACCGAATATCGCATCACATGCTTGTCAATAAACGGGGCGAGAAAAAGATACCAAACGCATTACCTTCAGCAATCCTTCAAGCACATCGACTCCCAAAACGATGGGATCCTTTTTGTTGAACACGCAATTCGGTATGATCTTGAGGACGCAGGGGAAGACTGCTTCATCCGCGGCTTGTTTCCTCTTTTCCTCCTTGAGATTATCGATATAAGCCTTGAACTGGTCGAACAGGTGGTAGATAATGTCGGCGAGGAATATTTTGACGCCGAGCTCGTCGGCAAGCTCCCTAGCCTCCGGCGTCACTTTGACATCGAAGGCGAGTATTGTGCCGTACTCCTTTTTCTTCTCAAGCATGACGCTTGCCTTCATGACGTCCTTTTTGTGCACGGGGCCTATGCTGATGCCACTGACAGGTATGTTAACCGCAGGAGTCTTCAAGAACTCCAGCAATGCTTCGAGAGACCCAAGAGTCGACGCTTGAACATAAACGCCCTCGCCACTTTTATCGATCCTGTTCATCACGGATTTCATGTCTTCCATGGCTGTTTCTTTGATGTCTTCCAAGTCGTCGTCAGGCCCCACGACATAAAGACTAGTCCCTGCAATCGCGTGCTCGAGGCCCTGTAGAAAAGGAAGGAAAGAAAGAAACACCTATCAAGTGACAAAAAGGTTAGGACAAACGACGACGAGCAATAATTAATTACCTGTGCAGTGATCTTGATACCCTGAGCTGCCTTGATCTCCTTATGGTGCAAATAAGCTCCCTGTAAAGGAAAACCAGCAAAATCAAATGCTCATAATCGATTGTAGCAGACGCGATTCTTTCCTTATGAATAATTAGATTACAACGGCAAAACAGAATGAAAAATACCAAAAACACATTTCATGATCAAGATCATTGTGTAGTACAGTATGAAAAGAAACTCATGAATGTCATTTGTTGGGGTTAATGAATGAATAACAAACAAAAACGTAAAAAAAACACAAATTTACATGGTTCACCAACAACGTGTTGGCTACGTCCACAGGCAGAAACAGAGAACAAATTTATTCACGACGATAAGGTTACATATTACGGATTTCATATCTCTAACTCTATTCAAATAAACTAAGAGAATACACCAAACGAGCTCAGCCCAATACTAACTCAAAAACCCAATACTGCATATTGTCGGGTCGGGAGGGACTTCGCCCCCTTGACCCCCCGACTCGCTGACCGGGCGGCGAGAACCCGTGAAAATTCAGCAAGAGTGACATTATATATAAAGCATATCAACATCATTGATACTTTTGGGTATATAAAACCAAAATGAATTTCATCAGCTAATGGTAAGAGCTAAGAAGTTTCACCTTGACTCGGAGCTCCCTCATCGGATGGGGAGTGAGTAATGCTCGGATCGAAGTAACAATGGGTCCCTATACGATACATTTAGGATAAAGATGTTAAAGAACAATTGCGATACAAACCCCGAAAGGGAAGAGAAAATAAATTTCCAAACCACACCTGTAAACCACAAACAACTATTTGGTCTCCTTCATGAAGCACACCATTTACTAGCACCACATCGATTGTTGTCCCGTGTCCTTCAACAACTTTAACTTCCAGAACAGTACACTGCCATGAGAAATTGGGGTAAATAATAACACTTCTAGTAATCAGATTATGTTCGACAGTCGAACAACGAGTGAAAGAAAAGCAAACCTGAACTTCGTCAGTATATGTAAGTCTTTCGATCATCGTCTTCTGCGTCCACTGAACTAGTAGCAATAACAGATCAGGGACACCTTCACCACTGTTTGCAAGAGTCCATGATAAGATTAAGAATACAAGATAAAAAATAACAACTCGACGAAAGGATGAAACTAAGTATAAAACGAGCTTTTAAATTGCTTGATCAAACTTAAACCTTATTGCACTAGTGGGTACGATGCTGAATGTCTCCCCCATTTCTTTGTTCTTGTAATAAAGCTCGGTGTTGAGGCCTTGTTCCTTCAACTGAGTGATAACCTAAAACAAGAAAAGACTTGTATCATATGCGGCGCACCAGCAACATGGAAAGTTGTGCAAAGAAGATGCTCGATATAACCTGAGTGAGCCTCATGTTGAATTCAATCTGGACATCTTTCGTTTGTTGCTTCATTGCCTTTATTATTGGCGCATTTCGGCATGTTTTCCACCCGTACAGTCTGTCCACCTGCAATGCCAAAACGATTAAATCAAATGACGAAATTTAATAACATCGGCCGCAACACAGAACTACAAAGTTACTCACTTTATTCAAGGCAACAATGAATTCGGTATTTCTCATCTTCAAAAGATTTAGTGATTCAATTGTCTGAGGCTCCAACCCGTGCATTATATCAACAACTAAAATTGCAATATCACACAACCCCGATCCTCGAGAGCGCAGATTAGTAAAAGATTCATGTCCAGGAGTATCGATTACTAAAAGACCAGGGACATTCAGCTTTGCATCAGCCTTCAGTTCAAGAGTTCTCTGACGAATGTTCTCTGCAGGAAAATAGGTAGCTCCAATTTGCTGTGTAATGCCACCGGCTTCGCCTTCTTGAACATTAGTACCTCTTATACAATCGAGCAGCTTTGTTTTACCAGTATCGACATGACCCATAATGCAACATATTGGGGATCGAAGATTCTGCCCATTCCTAACAGGAGTGTCATTTGGCTTTTTCAGTTTTTCCTCTCTAGCAAGAACTTCATTATTCTTTTTATTTTCATTCTCAGATCTGTGTGGCAACATCGAGGTAGCTTTCTCTGTCAAGCTAGCTGGTTTCGAAGATGGTGGATCGATGCTTCGAGTTGCATTCCGGGCATCCTTTAACTCCTTCTTATGCAAAGGTTTCGGCTCTGAGTCTTCATCAGCAAATGCACTATTTCCAGAAAACTTCAAATCTGCATCGTCCCAACTTTTAGCATCCCACTCTTCATCACCATCGTCGTCGTCATCATCCTCCTCCTCTTCCTCCTCTTCTTCTTCTTCTTCTTCACCAACTCCATTCTCTTCAGCTTCATCAACACCCTCGGCTTTACCCTTCACATTTGATGAATCCACGTCCTCCTCAAGCAGTGTCTCCTCCTCAATATCTTTCGAATCTGTGCTCTCAACTCTGTCTAGGGTGGACGGCTTCGACTTTTTCTTCTGATAAAGGGGTCGCTTTGTCGGTTTTCCAAGAGCTTCAATGGATTCTTCAGAGGGCAACTGCATCACTGCATTAGCTAGGATTTGCTTCCTCATTGCCTCCCGTCTTCGAGCCTCTTCCTTTTGCTTTCCTGTTAGAAGCTTCCCTTCTTGCTTCTTCTTCAGAAGCTTTTCCTTCTCTCTCTCCTTCTTCAAACGCTTCCTCTCTTCTGCCAACCTTTCCAGCTCTTCTTGTCGACGCCTCTCCTCCTCCTCTTTCCTTAGCCGCTCCTCTTCTTCTCTGTTCTTCTTTTCTTCGGCTTCCTTCAGCTTAGCAAGTCTCTCTTGCATCTCCCTAACATGCTTTGGAACTTTCTTACCTAATAGTTTCGTATTTATCTCAGTCGTCGACTCCTCCTGCTTCTCTTCTGATACAGCTGACTTTTTCTCTTTTTCTTTATCCTTCTTCTTTTTCTTCTTCTTCGAAGTTACAGACTCCACAGGCTCTTCATCAGCTTCCTTGTCAACAGCAGCCTCTTCTACCTCAAGCTGATTCTGTACTTTCCCAGCTGGAGTCGAAACTTGCTCTGAAACAGCAACTGTTCCATCGATTTCAGCTAGAATTTTATTGACATCATCTTCCTCAGCTCCAATTTTACCGGTCTTCTTTTTCTTCTTTTTGCTCTTTGAAGTATCCACCACACCATCCTCACGTTGATCCAACTTTACAAGATCAATCGATGCAGCTTCATTCCCATCTGCAGTAGCTGGTGGCCCGTCAATTTCCTGAAGAAGTTTGTCGAGGTCATCTTCATCTTTACCAGTTTTACCAGACTTTTTTTTTTTCTTTTTGTCCTTAGAAGCATCAGCCATCTCTGGTTTAATATTATCAGAGGAAACACCATTGTTCCCAAACTCCTCAACAACAGCATCAACACTAACACTTTTCTTCTTAGACGACTTCTTTTTACCCGAAAATGTAAATGTCGTGACATCTTCCTCGCTATCGTTATCTGCAAAATCATTGTAAAAATTTGAAACAGAAGGAACCTCACTATTCTTTTCATCAATCACCTTCTTCACCCCCTTCACCGACTTCTTCTTCTTCTTCGCTCCGGTAAACGAAATCTCAACATCCTCATCCTCATCTTTGTCATTACTGTCTTCATCTTCATCAAGTGCCTCAAAAGCAGACGAAAACCCTCCACCGCCCTTCTTACTCTTCGATGCTTTCTTCGTCCCTGAAAACAAAACCACCGGCGAAGCCGAAACTTCATCCTCATCATCATTATACTTACTTTCATTGTCATCCTCTCGTTCTTCCTCCTCTTCTTCTCCCAATAACCCAAACGCCGAAGCACTAAACACACTACCACCATCATTCTTCTTCCCCTTGGCTTTCTTTTTGCCAACAAACTTAATCACCGGAGCATCATCACCACCCTCCTCTTCTCCGGCAATCTCGTTATCGCCGACTCCTTCATCATAGTCATCATCCTTCTCCCCTGCTTTCTTCAATGGCCCCTTCTTCCCCTTCTTCTTAGGCATCACTTTCTCCTCCAAAACAAGTGTCTCTTCCGACAATTCAGTTCCAACAGAATACTCATCATCATCAATCACATAATCCTTCTTCTTTGATTTACCTCTACCACCAGCTGCCTTTCCCCCCACCACCGCCGCCGCTGCAGGCTCACTCTCCTCCTCACGGTTACTCGGCTTCTTTCTCCCCATCAGATATTGATTTCGACAAATAACAGAAAATCCACTTGACTACAATAACTACTCCTGCAAAACCTAATTCCAATCAGCCTCCAACCGACGCAAACAAAAACCTAAACCACCTGTAATTCTCATGAACACAGCAAAATCTTGAATTAAAGAGCTGCTATTCCAATTACATAATTTACAAATTCACATCACATCAAAAAAAAAAACAAAAAAACACCAGGGTTTGAAGAAGATGGAAACAACAATTAGAAGAAATTAAGAAAACAGCGGACTGACCTGGCCAATCAGAGAGGGAAAACGCAATACTGTCTGCAAGCTCTGACCGGCGGGACGATCTGAGCTTGGTGTTGACAGCTTGTTATTCGAGATTGGGGCATAAATATTGTGTGCAGTGGACCTTAAGCTTTATGCCGCCGCCTTGAAGTGGATCGGATTCTCTCTGCGTCAATCACCGATGAATTTATCTACAAAGCTACACACCATTAAAATTCATCATACTCGGAAACAAGTTAGGAACAACATCACACAAGATTCAGACTCAGAGCTCGATTATAGCAAAAGAGCAAGAATTCAGCAAATGCAGGGACCAAATCCCACTGCCGTTAAAAGTAGCTGTTAGAATTATTGTTGATCATTCTAAAACTGCATTTTTTACTGTCGAGCTTAACAAAATAATACTAGTAGTAATAATAATGGAGTAAGTATTTATTTTTTCAGTAAACTACAGTTTTAAACATTTATTTTTATTTTTTATATTATATTAAAAATTAATTTTACACTCAAAACATCACATTTGTTAATTAATTATATTTAATTAATAACTAACTGTAAATTTGTACAAACAAACCATTAATGTCTAATAAATAATATATAAATAGTTTTTTATTATTTTGAAATATTAAAATTATTCGAATTTTTAAAATTAATAGTATTTAGAAATTTGAATAATTAAAATAAATTTGGATTAATAAATTATTTGACGAAATTTTTTATTTTCAATAATTTTATTAAAAAAATAGTTGAAAACTATTGAATAAGAAAAATTTAAATATTAAAATTGTATGTATAAGATATAATTGATAAATATGTAGATAAATATGATATTTGAAATACATTTGAATTGTATTTATTAAATTTGGCCGGTTTAAATCATCTGTTATAATTTGTCAAAATATCAAATCGGAACCTAATATTTTGAATGATGGTTTGAATCACGATTTGACGATTTCAGTTACTATATACGAATTGTCGGCTACGGTTTGAACTGTCAATTTATATTTAACTTTTTCAATTTTTTTATTTTAATTTTTTACATTTCAAACAAATTATTTTTCTTTAACAAATTAAATTTACTCTAAATCTCCTATTATTGAAACAGCAATGAGTCATACATTTTTAAATAAATAATAATAATAAAAAGTACATTGAAGATCATCATAATTCAAATGGTAATTTATGCCTAAATATATTCATTATCTAATAATTTTATTGAATAAGACAATTATGCCTTGAATAATTAAATAAAATAAAATAATTCTATTAAAAATTTAGAAATAATAAGAAAGAAGATATCAAGCCTGAAACCTACATTAATGTCTTTTATATATAATAATATTAATAAATTTTACTCCCTCCGTTCCAGATACCATGTACACGTTGCTGTTTCTATCCGTTCCACGTACCATGTCACTTTCTTTTTTTGGAAAATGATTACAAATTTTAATCTCATTTTAAATTTTTTAATTTTATTTTTTTAATTTTAATTAAACTAATTAGTTATTTTAATCTTAATTTATAATTATTTATATTATAGGATAATTATTTTCACTAATACATTCTTAATTATCTATTAGTTACACCCCTCTTAAAATACCGTGTCACAGTATAGCAGACGAGGGAGTAATAAATATATCTATTAATTATATAAATTATAACTGTACGTATTAATGGTAAGTTATTAGCTATATTAATTAACATAATTATTTTTATTAAAAACTCAAAAGATTAAGAAAATAAATTTGATCACTTGAGACCTACGGAGTCAAATATATACTCCCTCCATCCCATATACCGTGCTACAAATAATTATCTATAATTTAAATAATTATAAATTAAAATTAAAATAACTAATTAGTTTAATTAAAATTAAAAAAAAATAAATTAAAAAATTTAAAATGAGATTAAAGTGTGTAATCATTTTCCATTTTAGAAAAATGATATGGAATATAGAACGGACAAAAATGACAACGTGGACATGATAGGTGGGACAGAGGGAGTAATATATAGAGATAAAACAATAGTAATAATAATAATAATAAAGTTTAATAAATAAATTTATTTATTTATTTTATTCAAAAAATTACTTAGAGATATTTTATGTTCTTTGTGTAATTTAAGTCTTTATTCGGAACCAAATATCAAAGAAGTGTTTTTCGTACAAACTTTGCATTGACATAAAAGGTTTCACGAATAAATAAAACTTGTGCAGTTTTACTTAAAAACATCATAGGTGTAATATAATTTACCTTTTAAAAAATATCATTTTTTTTCAAATTAAATATTTCACTTTTATTCACATTTTTTAAATTTCAAAAGTTTCTAAAAATCTAAATATTGGGGTATTTAAAAAACAACTCAAAATAGTTAATGCGTGTTTGTTTGTGACATAATTTGAAGATATATATATATTTTTTTACTTGAGCTATGGAGAATTGTGTAGATGATATAAAATTAACAAATATGTGTGCTGTATTAATTTTTTGGAAATATATGTGAAAAAAAATGAAAGTGAACTAAAAAAATTCAAAAACACAACAAACACGGCCTTATTTTATAGTAAAGACAATTTCAGCGCGGATCATAATTAGGACATCATATGTTATCATATCATTTGTAATAAAAAACTGGTGATTAGTCAATGGTCAAAAAGTCAAGCTCTTCGATTGCAACAAATTTAAAGATTTTTTTTTAAGGTGCGTTTGTTTGGATATATTGATTTTGAGTTGGAATTTGAATAATAAAAATATTGAATTTGAATAGTTGTATGATGTGATATAAATAGGTGTTGATGCGATGTTTTGAATGTAAAACTGATTATTAGTATAATATAAAAACTAAAAATTAATTGTTTAATTTGATATTTTTTTGGGGGGAAAAATGAGATGAATAGTGTATTTAAAATCCAATTCCCAAACAAACACACCCATTCGTGGTTTATTTGTGATTCAAAATTAATTTGAAATTAATGTTAATTTTAGTTTTTGTTTAAATTTGATTTTTTAATTTTTGTAAAAAGTTTGTTAAAAATGGTTTATAATTATTTTTAGAGAATTTTATTTATAAATAATGTTGAAAAAATCGAGTGAATATATTTTAACGTATTATTCTCTCACCATTTCACATAAAGTACTCATTCTTTGTATTTTAGTAATTCCACATCATTTCTGTATTATTTATTTAAAAATATAATTATATATTTTAATTAAATTTTAAATTTTATAATTTAAAATTTTCTTAATTTTAATTAAACTATATACAGTAATATAAACATTTTTTTTGGACAGAGAAAGTATTTTATAAAAAAAAAATAATATTCTTCTGTCTCATATTTTAATATATTTTAATATATGACAGTTACTAACAATAAATAAATGCTTTTGTAAGGGATCGAGGAAGAAATATTTTTATTTAAAATATGCATAGCACAAAGTGAAGATAGAGTATTATATTAAATAGTTATTTATTATTTTTAAAATTTTAAAACTTTTAAAAGCTCCCAAAAAGTTCTGTTGCAATGCCGAGAAATCTTCCCCACAGGAAGCTCAGTGAACTTCAACTACACAGAAACAAATCCCTAACTCCATAAATGGATCTTCCTTCCTGGAAATTTCACTCGCTTTCATCATATCATTATCACTTTGCTCTACTTCTTTGACCCAACCCTGCGTTTCCTTCTCCGCCACTCTTCCTTCTCGGGTTCTCCCTCCCCACCTCTCTCTACATTCTGAGGTTTTGATTTTTGGTTTTCTCGCAGCCATTTCTCTGCGCAATTCTGTTCGCTGTTTTGGTCAAGAGATGAGAGTGCAGCCGGATTTGCTGGGGGGCGGCAAGGCGTTTCCTCCCGGATTCAGATTCCACCCTACCGATGAGGAGCTCGTTCTTTACTACCTGAAGCGGAAGATCTGCGGTAAACGCCACTGTCTGGATGTTATCGCTGAGACTGATGTTTACAAATGCGATCCCGAGGAGCTGCCTGGTGAGTTTCACCACAGTGTTTGTATTTCTCTAGATTAGTTTCGATTCGCTCGTGACGTGATCTCTGTTTCTGTTTGTGTGTTTGACTGTTGATTTTTACTTGTTTGGTTGTTTTGGTTATCTCCTGGAATTAGGATTGTGGAATCATCTGCTGTTCAATTCCATTAATCTGTAGTTTAATTCGTGCATTACGTTTTTTTTCAATTTGATTATCCGTTGTTCGATTCGATTGTACGTTGTGCCTTTTTTCGATTCGTATTCATTCGACTTTGCGCTCGATTCGATTATCTACTGTGATGTTCTTCGATTGGATTGTGTTGTTTTGCTGTTGTTCGATTAGATTATCTGCAGTACTGTCATTCGATTCGTGTTCATTGTGCGCTTGATTCGATTATATGCTGTCCTGTTCTTCGATTGGATTAAATGTTGCGCTGTTGTTCGATTTGTGTTCATTCGATTGTGCACTCAGATTGGATAATCTACTACCCTGTTGTTCTTCGATTGGATTATATGTTCTTCCTCGATATGCGTTCATTCGATTGTGCACTTCACTGTAGATTGATATCATAAGCATCATCTTCTCCATCTACAAACAATCCAGATTACAGAATTGCTGAATTTTGGGATTATATTTATACAAAATGCAGGGATGTCGAAGCTGAAAACCGGCGACAGGCAGTGGTATTTCTTCAGCCCTAGAGACAGGAAGTATCCGAATGGATCGAGATCGAGCAGGGCGACTCACCATGGCTACTGGAAAGCTACCGGAAAGGACCGCATCATTTCGTGCGGAGCTCGTGCCGTTGGCATAAAGAAGACTCTAGTCTTCTACCGAGGCCGTACGCCGAACGGGGGACGGACCGACTGGGTGATGCACGAATATACAATAGAAGAAGAGGAGCTGAAACGATGTCCGGCCATTGAAGGATACTATGCCTTGTATAAGGCATACAAGAAGAGCGGACCTGGTCCGAAAAATGGGGAGCAATATGGTGCGCCGTTTGTTGAAGAGGACTGGGCGGAGGATGATGACAATGTTTTGTGCCCGGTTCGGGACAAGGTTGTTCCGGTAGCGCCGCTTGAAGTCGAGCCGGTTGGTAATTTTAAAAGCATATCGGCTGATTCTCCGCGAGTCGATTCTCTGGATGATCTGGATGAGGTTTTGAAGTTAATTGCGGATGAGCCAATGCCTACCCAGGCGCTCGGTGAAGACGCGCATAATGTCCCGGCGAGTTTTGATCTTACGAATCATGAGGTTTCCGCCGTTCTTGACAATTGGTTGCGAGATCCCCTGGATAATGAGGAGGATTACCTCGACGATTTTCTTGAAATGGACGATCTATGCGGCGATGATCCCGCACAACATTCTGATAAACTCGTCGATAATTTGGAGAAGCTATTGTCTGATGATATCGATGGTTTGGTTCCATCCGATCTTTTTCAAGATGCATTGCCATTCTTCGGCGAGTTGGGGACTGTTGAGTCCGGATTGATTTCTCAACGGTATGCGAACAATTTTGACAGCGGGGTTTTTAATCTGATGCCGGAATCCTACTCGAACAATCTTGAAACGGCAGCAACGAGCTACCTCCCGCAGCAGCATTTCAATAGTTTTGACGGAATCGGGGACGAGCAAACACACAGTGTTGTAACTTATGCGGAACCAAACCCGCGATACGTTCCTTCAGATTCAGGTACCGTAACAAAACGACTTGAAATTAAAATTTTGATGCGGGTGTTTTTATTTTATTTGATCTAATCTCGTAGAGCTCTTGATCAGATGGATGGTATGGTGAAAACTCTGTGTGCGCAAAGCAAGTCGAAAGAGTTTGATCCGGCTTCACGAGCTCTCGGGCTGTGATGCATTCAGTTCGATTATTACTAATTAGTCGATTTTGGCATGTTTAGGTGATCTAAAAAGCAGCAGCAGCCGAAACCATGAAAACGGCGGCGCAGAGTTGTCGTGGCTCTCCTCGACTCTGTGGTCGTTCGTCGACTCGATTCCCGCGGCTCCTGCATCGGCCTCGGAAAGCATTTTGGTAAACAGGGCTTTGCAGCGTATCTCGAGCTTCAGTAAGGTAAGAACTACTACTGCTGCTGCTGCTACTACTACGAACACTGCATCATTGTCGTCGAATCGTTATCGATCAAGAAGGCGTTTTGCATGTGTGTGTTTAGTCGGGATTTTGTGTGGTGCCACACTGTGGATGATGAATTGAATTGATGATCGTTTTAGATGTTGTAAAACTTTGGTAGTTTTTGGGAGAAGGAAGTTAATATATATATATGAATCCGAAGAAGCTTAGGAATGGTGATTTGTAGATATTTCTTTGTAAGAACCATTTAAGCTTTGGATCTTGTACTCTTCCCCCCCTTCCTACTGAAGCTTATATTAGTATCAATGACACTATGGTATGAGGTTCGTTTTTGTCTAAATTGTTTATTTAGGTGATGTCCGAATTGATTTTTAAAAAATTAGCTCTAAGACAAGCCTATTGAATTGTTGATTCTCTATGTATCTATTTCTGAATTCAAGTGCAAGGGATAATAGACTATTTTATGTGTTACATCTACCTTGTTAGAGTAAGAAAGATAAAGACACTTGTATTTTCTTGCACTTTGAGTACTGAAAAACACAATTGGCATTAAGGGGCACATAGAGATAAAATTCAACTGGTTTCATTTAAATCAAAATAGTTTGAACAATTTGATATCCAATTTATATGTTGAATGAATTATGCTTGCTGCTAGACTTCTCGTCATTTTTGCCTTGCACCATGACCGGCCATTTAAATCTATACATGTCAACGCCTTTTGAATAGCTTCGCCGGATTTTCATCGTTATAAAAAAAATTATACATATCAATATATTTTTTTACTTATTTTATTTGTCCTGTCTTAAAAAATCAATATAAAAAAAATAGATAATATAAATACATTATAATTATTCAAACAATTAAAGATCTGTCACACGTGATTTAACTAAATGTCACTTGCTTGTCATTTTTTTTTTTTTTTTTAAAAAAAAAAGAAACAAAACAAAAGAGACCCTAAATTTACTTTTACTCCTGTAAATTAAATTAAGAACGTCAGCCGAAAGAATATTCCCTGTAAAGACGTGAACAAAGCTACGATGAAATGAACAAATCCAAAGACCAAAAAGAAGAAAGAAGCGAAAGGCATTCTTTACACACTTCTTGTACATTCTCAACTGACCGTGCGAAATCGCCAATCATGGAGTCTTCGCGGCCGCCGATCAGATTTGGAGTCCTCGGCTGTGCGGAAATAGCCCGGAAGGTGTCTCGTGCCATCCGTCTCTCTCCCAACGCCACTCTCGCTGCCGTCGGAAGCCGAACCTTCGAGAAAGCCGCGAAATTCGCCAAAGAGAACGGTTTCCCCGATTCCGCCAAGGTCTACGGCTCCTACGAAGCTGTCCTCGACGATCCGGAAGTAGACGCAGTTTACATGCCTCTCCCCACCAGCTTGCACCTCAAGTGGGCGGTTATGGCCGCCGCGAAGAAAAAACACTTGCTGCTGGAGAAGCCGGTTGCGCTGAACGTCGAGGAGCTGGACGAGATTCTCGAAGCTTGTGAATCCAGCGGAGTGCAGTTCATGGACTCCACCATGTGGATGCACCACCCGAGGACTGCTGCGATGAAGGAATTTCTCTCCGATTCTTCCCTCTTTGGAGACCTCAAATCCGTAAGCATATCTTTGTTCTTCGTGATTTGATGCATCTTGTTGAAATTGGAAGCAAAATCAGGGCAGATCTTTATTCTCCATGACTGTTGCATCGATTTAGGTCAAATTATGGTGAAAATTAGAAGCAAAATTAGGGCAAATTTCTGGTGAATTTGCAGGAACTTTCATTCGTAGAGAATTGTTTCAAAAACTATTTGAATTAAACTTTTTGCTGCAGCTATAATTCTGATTGTTCATACTGATTTATTTCCTTTGTAATCTGCAGATGTATAGCAGCCTCACCTTTGCTGGAAGTAAGGATTTCCTGGACAACGACATTCGTGTGAAGCCGGACCTCGATGCTCTCGGCGCACTCGGTGATACTGGATGGTATTGCATCAGGTCGATCCTCTGGGCTGCTGATATTCACCTGCCGAAATCTGTGGTCGCCTTACCGGGAACTGTCTTCAACAATGCCGGTGTCATTATGGCCTGCAGTGCTTCTCTAAGTTGGGAAGATGGGAAGACGGCCACTTTCCATTGTTCGTTTTTGAGCAATCTTACGATGGACATGACTGCTGTTGGCAGCAACGGCACTTTACATCTCCGCGACTATGTGATTCCGTTTGAGGAGAGCAAGGCTTCGTTCTTCACGTCTGTAAAATCAACGCCGAATGAACTCTCCACAGGATGGAGACAGAAACCGAGCGAGCAGATTGTCCACACAGAACTTCCTCAGGAAGTTCTTATGGTGACGGAGTTCTCCAGGCTTGTTGGAGGCATCAAATTTGACGGGGCTGCAACCGATAAGAACTGGCCGACGCTTAGCAGGAAGACGCAGCTTGTTTTAGATGCTGTTAAGCGTTCTATCGATAAAGGGGGTCAAATTGTTGAGGTAATAGCTAGCTAGATTTACATTTTCTTGTGGGATTATTCTGTTTCATGTCGCTTACAAGTTATATATCATATGTTCAAATGGTTCCTCTGCTTTTATGCATCGATTATAGCACATTGTTTCGTTGTCTTGGAATGAAATGGAAATTTGAGTTGGGAATACATATAGCATTCGAAATTGAAATGGCTTGTTTATTCATGCTAGGTTCGTAATTACCTGATGTGACAAATGCATGACTAGTTGTTATTCGTGTTCGACTATGTTCTTTCTATTACAATTTGAATAAATGAATCACGTACAATTAGATGGAGGCATGGCTCGTCGTGTGTGTGCTGTTATTACGTTTTTTGTTCGATATGTTGCTCAGTTTCAGCATCTCGGCATGTCTGGAGGCGGCGGCAGCATCCTAGCATCCGGCCCCTTGCCATTCTTGACGATGAAAGTCATCTCCATCCCCCAACTCACGTGACGCTCCAAATGGCAATGCAGAAGCCAAACGCCTACAAAAATCCCGAGGTAACTATCCCTGTTAGTCATCTCCGTGTAAAATGATTGCTTTCGATTACAAGATCACACACACATACCTGGATTGTTTGCTTTGAATCTTATCGCTATCCACCCGTTCTGAGGGACTACGAAAGTATTCTGTAGCGGAGGGTCGACTAGGTTGTAGTTCATCGGGTCCTTATCTTTGTCGAAGTTCCCGACACCCGAGCCCACCACATAATAGCTGTACCCGTGCAGATGCATCGGGTGATAATTCCCTCCGAGAATACTCGTTCCTTGGAACACAAGCTCTACCTCGGAATCGTATTCGAGCACTCTCACCTCCGTCCCGTTTTGCGGTATTCGGAAGTCGCGAATGTCTATTTCTTGAGTGTAGTTGAAAGGGAAAGGCGGCTTGCTTGGGAAGTCGTCGCCATAAACTCCTCTAATACGATTGTAATACGCTTGCAGGATGGAGATCCTCGGCTGGACAAATGTTATGTTGTTGATACTTGCTCGTAGTCGCCCACCGACCGATCCGTTGCAGGGAGCTTCGACAGGACACTCGAAGATGTTCACGGACAGGGTAAAGAACAGCTTGGTATCGACTTTTACAGGGACGTCCACCGGATGATTGTCGCTCGCCAAGCTTCTGAACCGTCTGATGAAATCGAGCACTGCCGACGTGTTGTCCTTTGCCTGCAGGCTTGGCATGACAGGGGACGACGGCGCGGTGTAATTCCCGGCGTACTGCAAAATCGCCGTCGTGTTGGTGTCGGAGTCGGACGCTGCAACCGAATATGCCCTCGAAGCCATGTAATACCGGGAAGGTCGCCGGTCGGCGCGGAGCAATAAGTCCATCGTCTGGCCTGGAGCGATCGCGACGTAATCCGTCGTGAACGGCTTCAAGTAGCTCCCGTCGGAGCCAACCACCGTGACGGTGTGATCCGCTATCCGGAAGAACATTACGGTGTTCATCACTGCGTTGATCATTCGAAGAAGATACGTCTTCCCGGGATCCACAGTCAGCCGGAATGTATCTGCAAGTAGTCGACGTCGAAATCAGCAGCTAGAATGAACCTGATCGGACAGAAATCGAGCTCGTTACCTCGACTCGAACACGGATACAAATCACCAGGCTGTCCATTGATGAGGAAAGCATCTGAAAGTCTCGAGTCTCCTCCAGTCTCCAAGAACTCTCCGAAGACTGTTCGAATTTCCGGGATCCACCATTCGCCTGCGGTTAAGGTATCGAAAAATCGTTCGATTGATTCGATGGAGTCGTTTGATTACGATTTGAATTCGATCGAAAATTACCTAAAATGACAGGAATTTCGGCAGCGGGTTTCGGGAAGGGGTAGTCATTTCCCTTCCTCGGCCGGACGATCAATGCGCCATTAACGGTGGCTCGAGACCAGTCGCTGTGGGCGTGCCACCACAGGGTCCCGATCTCGTCGGAAAGCACGATTTTCTGGCTGAATCTCGTTCCGGGCCGGATAGGGCATTGGGTGATGAAAACAGGCCCGTCCGACCACGGGTATCGGGGCTGCTTCACTCCGTGCCTGTTTTTAGTATTACGATTTTCATGAAATGGAATGAGTCGAACTGAGTCGAGTTTTTTTGTAAAGGATTTGAGGTTGGTAACTACCAGTGAATTGTTACGTTTTCGGAAGCTCGGTTGATGACGTCGACAACGAGGGTGTCGCCTTCGGCGACGTACAACGTCGGACCGGGGAATTGTCCGTTCACCGTTAAGATCGTCGTAGTGTTGCACAATCTCGTGTAGGAACTGTCCTTAAGCTGCACAAATTAATAGATGTTCGTAAATTTAAAATATAGGAGTATTTTTTATTTAATATTTATTTATATAACATTATATTTTATAATTAAAAAAAATTATTATTTTCAAACCAATCAAAAATTCTAACATAGTTTTAAGACACAATATTATATAAGCTATTGTATTTTATTTAAAACGAATTCAAATTTAAATAAAACAAAATTATTTTAAAATACAAGGAGATATCTCTATAATTTGTGGGGGCTATTAACAAAAATGATACTGCATGAAAGCTTTCAAATATATAGGTTATTAGTTTTTTTTTTTTCCAACTATTTTTTCTTGTGAAATATTATTACATTATAAAAAAATCTATTTGAATAAAATTTCAAATTAATATTATATTTCAAATCAATTTTAAACTACAATCAAACAAATCCATAATATAATTTTTTGATATTGCATACAAAAATTATTATATAATGAATTGGCATTTGTAGAAATAAGTTATGTAATGAAGAGTTTGTTTACTTTTAAAAGACTAATTAAATTAAAATTTAAATAAATAATTCATGCATAAACACAAATTAAGGTTCTGTTACACAAAATTTTTGGAATTATTTCATTTTTATATTAAATATTTATTCTTTATTTTATAACAATTTCCAAAACTCCTAGTTCATTTAAATCATTGCATGATTTAATATTTATATTTGTATCCAAAAATTACTATTTTTATAAAAAAAATATTGGATATTAAAATACTTGAAAAAAAAAAATTTACAATCAAATAAACACTCAATATATTCGCATCAAATATTTCCTCAATCGTAATTCAGAATCAAATTGTTGTGAAATAAACAAAATGAAACCCTAAGTCGAAAGTTTCACAACACAAAAAATTTCAACAGCAACAATATATGAAAATCGAAATACGATCAAAGCAAAAAAGACCCAATCGTACGTATAAATTGCATACCACAAATGAATATCGATGAACTGTCGCAAAGCCATATTGGAAGCTACAAAAAAGAATAAGAAAAAAGACGACGAACAACTTCTCCATGCATACGCTTGCTCGATCACAAATAATAGCGCGACAACAACAAATCGATATATATATATATATATATTTTTTTTATATATATATTTTTGGTTTCTAATTAATTTGGTTATGAATTTGGTATGAATTTTGTGAAATTATTTATAGAGGTTTGTTCATATATAGGGTTGTGAAGAAAAATCAACTTGAAAAGTTTGTGTTATTTTCTTCATTGGATAAATTAAAAATAAGTAATCATTAGTGGTTTTATTATTATCCTGTTTTTGAATTGGAAAATTAAACTAGTTTCACCAAATTTTGAATTTTACTCACAGAAATTTGATGAATTTTCCAATACTTTGAAAAATATGACACACAGCTTTGCAATAAAATGGACATATTTTATTTATTATTTATTTTTTTATTTGTTCGTTGTTACGCCACTAATCTGACAAAGATTAAAAATTATGATTCATTATTCTAATAATTATATATATTATTTAATATGAACTCACCTATCTATCATCAGTATCACATGATCATAAGACCTAATTAACTAATAATTAGCTGATTAGATAAAAGTTTACACAGGTGTGTTTGTCTGGGGGTTTGGATTTTGGATGGAGATTTGAATAGTAAAAAATTTGACTTTGAATAGTTGTATGATGTGATATAAATATGGATTGATGTGATGTTTTGAATGTAAAATTAATTTTTAGTATAAAATAAAAAATAAAAAATAGGTGTTTGATTTGATATTTTTGGGAGAAAAATTTTTTGTGAATAGTAGAAGTTCACCAAAATCTTTCAAACAAATAGAGAATATGATAGGTGGAAAAGTCTTGAAATGAATAGTTAGATATAAAGCAGCCAAAGGTAAGTTAAAAGAGATCATTTAAATTCCTTGTTTATCTTTTTGACAAATTCTATGAATTGATTTCTTGTCGTAGATAACGTGTTCATCTTCCAAACCTTTTCTAACTAATCCTTAAGGAATTAAGGATGAAATTATATATATATATATATATATAATATTAAGACACAAATTTCGTATTATATAATAAAAATAAACAATAGTATATGTTTCTACATAGCATATTATAAATGAAATAGACCGAATATTGTTGAGTATAAAATTTATAATTAGGGTAATGACCCAAAATAAGAGGAGATGTGGGCCCGTCATTGGGCCCATCAGATGGCTAGGGGTTTCTCGAGGCGGTCGGTTGGTCAGCCGCCCGATTAAAGAGACAAGGCAGTACGGAGATGGTCGAACGAGCAGTTGAATTCAATAATTAACAGGAATGGTTGGTGGGACGTTTAAGACATATGTCAGTTGGGGATTAATGTGCGGGACGGTTGATGGCAATTGCGGTAACCGACCAGGCGATGTTTTGATGCGTTTTCTCAAGAATTATTTAATAATTCAGGGAAATTCAGACGAGGCATCTTCAGACAAGAATTAATTATGAATTCTCTGTTGGGGGTCACCTCTATTTTTAATGTATTTACTACTTTGCTCTACAAATAGATTTTATTCAAATTCGATAACATTTTCGGATTTTATTTTGTGTAGTTGAAAAAACTATTCAACAAATATATTATAAACACAACATAAATTAAATCAATATGATATTAATTTAACCCAATTAATTAAAGATTTGTCTCCATAATATTATTATCATCCAAGTTCGTAATACAAACATATATATATAAAAAAAAAAAAAAAAAAAAAAACATATATATATTATTTAATTCTTATATCTTAAATGAATGTGTGATAGTTAGTATGTTTTATATATAAAAACTATTTTATCTTGTATCTTAATTTGCCGTAATAATATTGACATAGATAAATATAAATTTGAATATATTTGTAAAATAAATACTTTGTTTCAAAAACCTTAAATAATAAAATACTTACCCTATGATCCGACCAATAGAGTACAAGAAAAGAAAATAATTAAAACAACAATTGAGAAAAAAAAGACAAAATTAAATTAAATAGCATAACAGATGTCAATATATGTTTTAAATAAAAATTGACATTATATATAAATATGTATAAAAATATTATACTTATTGTATTTGTGGTGGTAAGACTCGAGTAGCATAAAATATACTTCCTCCGTCCCATAACAAAGTATCTATATTTTCATTTTAGTCCGTCCCATAACAAAGTATCCATTTTCTTTTTTAAGTAACTATACAATCTACCTAATATTACAAATACCCTTACAACTTACAATATATTACACAAATGCCATTACCTTTATATCACACATACTAATAAGGTTACTTTAATAAAGTTACTTTAGTCATTTCTACTTTATTCCTATTATATCTCAATATAATACTAATATTTCTAAAACTACGTGTAAAAAACAAATGAATACTTACTTATGGGACGAAGGGAGTATTATTTATTTCTTTATCGACCTCATCAAAATTAGCTTCAATATTTATTTAGATTCACAATAATATTTCTACCGTTGGCTGGACCTTTTTTTTCTGCTTTCTAAAAATATTCTCATTTTTTTCTTTAGTAAAAAAATATACTTCCTCCATCCCAGTGCAAGGTTGCCATTTAATTTTTTGCAAGTAATTTTTTTAATATTAGTATTATAATGTATTGTAGTAAAAAAAAATAAAAATGCCCCTATTAGTATTATATAATACAAAAGTAATGGCATTTGTGTAATATAGTATAAAGTGGAGGGTATTTATTATGTTAGGTAGGTAGTACAATTACTAAATTAGTAAATGATAACCTTGTTTTGAAACGGAATAAAATAAAAAATGGCAACCTTTCAATGGAACGGAGGGAGTATTTTCTATAATAAAATATAAAAAATACACACTTTTAGTAGTATTAAATTCAACAATTATTTTCATTTAATATATATATATACAACTAGAGATTGCAAGTTTATAAATAAGCAGTATCAAACATATTTTATATTAATTAAAGGATAATCTAAATCCAATATTTATTTCATTTTTTCCTCCAAAAAAATATCAAATCAAACAACTACATTTTATTTTTTATATTATACTAAAAATCAATTTTACATTCAAATATCACATCAACACCTATTTATATTACATCATACAACTATTCAAATTCAAAAAATTTATTATTCAAATTCCAATTCAAAATCCAAACCCACGAACAAACCAACCCTAAATAATTCATTTTACAATAATTTATTTTTATTGTAATAATGAAAAATATATTTACATACTGTATATAATAAAAGAAGAAGCCATTCAGACCAGCTAAAGATCTTAACTAATAATCAGGTCGGCCCAAATTAAAGGCCCATAAAGTGCCTCCTTTTCAATTTAACTTAAAATACATATATATATATATATATATTATCATAATTGGATGATGAACCTACTTAGAATCTCGTACTCTCTCCATCCAATTTCTATTATCCTAAAATATATTTGCATGACTTTTTAGGTGATTATCTTATTGTTATGAATTGACAAATTTGTCCTTAATTGTATGGTACATATTAAAACTAATAAATGAATTGAGAGTAAAAATATAAAATTTGTGTTTTAAAAAAAAAAAATAGGACAATAGTTGTTGGACGTCCCAAATAGAAAAATAGGACATTAATTTGTGGACGGAGAGAGTATTTTTTATTTTTGTCTGTTTCATATTTTAAATTATTTTTTAAAAATATATATACATTAATCACATTTTAATTTATAATTTTAAAAAAATTAATTAAACTAATTATTTATATTAATTTGAATTTATAATTATTTAAATTATATTATAATTAATTTTACTAATATAATTTTAATTATTTACTAATTATACATGTTATAAATTTTAATTTATATATCTAAGAACAAAAAAGTATTTGACTACTGAATTTGTTATGCTTTAAAAGCATCATATCCAACGTCCAATACGCTCATTTTTTGTTTTACCAGTTATTACGTCTAATAAAATTTTTACTATAAATATACATATATAATTTATTTTTTTTTAAAAAAAATAAAGTTAAGTAAAAAAATTTATAATCGAATCTTTTTAATTTACAAAAGTGTGTCATGCCTGCAATGATGCATTTTGAAAATTAATCAACCTTTTTTGGTTTGAAGGAAAAATAAATAAATAAATAAATAAAAAGAAAAAGAGGATATTATTACACATGCATTAATCAAATGTTGTTTTGTAGTATGTGTGATTTGCCTATTGGGCTTGCAGAGTATTAGGTTCAGTCGGAGGTTTATTCAGTGTGAAATTTCGAGTAGCGACTGCGGATTTCTACATCATAAAGAAAAAAAAAATGATATCTTGATGGATATATTTTATGTAAGAATTATATATATATATATATATATTTATCCTTTTGTTTTGATTTAACATAATCAAATTTACCACAAAACAAATACTCATATTTTTTGTTTGGACAAATGATAATGACAATATTTTTTATCATTATAAATTTAAATCAACATTATTTATCATACTAAATTTGTAGTAAAAATACATTATTTTCTTTTACAAATATTACTATTTAAACAACAGTCCAAATAAACTTCTTATTTCAAATCAATTTCAAACTATAATCAAATAAACTCAAAATGTACACTTTTGAAATTAATTAAAAAAAAAACAAAGTGCATTGTATTTGAATAAAAATAAATATTTCAGCAAATTAAAATAATAAAAAAAATATGTATATAAATACAAATATAATAGACCTGTTTACTTTAAATTTTATTTCAATTTCTTCGTTACGGAATCTTTACTATTCTTCCTAAAAATACATTATGCAAAAGAGGAATTGCGTTTTGGAAATTTTTTATTTCTTTTTGTTAATTATTAAAAAATTTATTTTTGTTATTTTTTAGATATTCTATAAAGTAAAATATTATAGTATATTTTGTTTACCATTTTTGTCATTCACAAAACAATAGTCTCATTTTCATAAATAATCATATCACCATAAAATTATCTATATTTTTTCATTATTATTACACAATTGTCACTATTT